ATGGGAATTCAGCATCAGTTTAGTGTTCCAAGAACGCCACAGCAGAACAGAGTTTCTGAAAGAATGAACAAAACCATTCAAGAAGCTGCACGATCTATGCTGAACAATGCAAAACTACCAAAGAAATTCTGGGCTGAAGCAGTTCATACTGCAGTCATCTTAAGAAATCGAAGTCCTACTGTATCCGTGAACGGAGTTACACCTTACGAATGTTTCCATTCTAAGAAACCTGATGTTTCGCATCTGAGAATTTTTGGTTGCACAGCTTACATGCACGTTCCTAAGGAAACGAAAGAAGAAATGGGACTCCAAAACCAAGAAATGCACATTTGTTGGGTACAACCTCACAAGTAAAGGTTATCGACTCTACGACGCTTCAACTGGTAAAACTCACATATCAAGAGACGTGTTATTTGACGAAAGCTCATTTAATCGACGAAATAAATCTACCATAGTCAAAAGTGGATATATTAAAGATACCGTGACCGTAAAACTGAATGATGAACTATTAGAAGACAATGAAGAACACGAAGTCAATGAAGAAATGGAAGATAGTTCCAACAACAGTATGATAGATGAACAACAACAACCACGACGATCAGCACGAATACACAAATCTCCTGATAGACATGGTGTGGTGATCATAGGTAATTGGTGGCAGAACAATGTCGCTAGCATTGATGATGAATCTATCCGTCACGATGAACCACTCAATATTAATGAAGCTTTTGATAGTCCAGATAAGGCGAAATGGAAGCAAGCAATGGACAGTGAATATTCTTCCCACACGAAGAAAAATACTTGGACATTGGTTGACTTACCTGAAGATCGTAAAGCTATAGATTCTCGATGGATATTCAAAGTAAAGTACAAAGCAGACGGCTCAATTGAACGGTATAAAGATCGGTTAGTTGCCAAAGGAGACTTACAAGAATATGGCTTGGATTATGAAGAAACATTTTCTCCAGTAGCGAAATATACATCAATTCGCTCTCTCTTGGCAATTGCTAATCAGTTAGATTTGGACGTACACCAAATGGATGTGTCAACGGTGAACTTAAAGAGGAAATATATATGAAGCAACCTGAAGGATATGAGAAAAAGGGACAAGAACAGAAGGTCTGTAAATTAAACAAAAGCATAGACGGCTTGAAGCAATCTTCGAGATGCTGGTTTGATAGCATTGATCAGTTCATAAAGAAATCCGGTTACGTTCAATCCAATTCTGATCCGTGTCTGTACATTAAACGAAAGGGAGATAATATAATGCTTTTAGCGTTATACGTCGATGATTTGATTCTTGCAAGTAACAAGAAAATTCTAGAAGGAGAAAGGTATTTTGAAGAAACGCTTTGAAATGAAAGATCTAGGTGAAATTCATTTCTGTCTGGGGATTCAAATTCAACGAGAAAGGAAAAGAAACAGATGCGACTTCATCAATCAAAGTATTTGACGAATTTATTGAAGAGATTTAGAATGCAAGACTGCAAACCTGTTGCAACTTCCGTTGAGCTAGGAACCAAGTTGTTGAATAATGAAAGAGAGCCAATGAACATAACGAAATATTAAGAATTAATTGGTGCTTTAACGTATGCAGTTACAGCGACAAGACCAGACCTGGCACAAGCACTTTCAACAGTTAATCAATTCTGTGCTAACCCTAGCCAAGACCTTGAATGCTGCCAAACGTATTTTACGTTACATTAAAGGTACGATGAACTACGGCATTTGCTTTGATGGACATAAAGAATTTGAAGTCAAATTAAGTGGATTTGTTGATGCTGATTGGGATGTGATCCAAATAATCGAAAATCACATACAGGATACCTATTCATGATTTGTGGTAGATTGGTAAGTTGGGCAAGCAAAAAGTAAAGTATTTTAGCTCTGTAATCTACTGAAGCTGAGAATGTTGCAGCATCACAAGCATGTCAAGAAGCAACATGGTTAAGAGGCTTACTACATCATTTAAACTTCACTCAAAAGGACCAACTATCATAACAGAGGATAATCAAGGAGCAATAAGTTTGTCAAAAAATCAGAAATACCATCCAAGAACGAAACACATTGACATAAAATATCATTTTATTCGCGACAAAGTACTGAAGAAAGAAATTGCACTTGAGTATTGTACGTCACAACAAATGGTTGCTGATATGTTAACGAAACCATTAGGAAAAACTGTATTTCAACGAATGAGATCTAACATGGGAGTAACAAACATTTAAAGGAATAGTGATCAGTTTATGTTTTTCGAAAGGGAGTGTTAAGATATGAACATCAAACGAAAAGACATAAACAACATAGCATTGCATGCATAATTAAGTAGATATGACACATGTCAGATTAAGTGATATTCTTAACTTGTAATTGTACTATCGTTGTTCACTGATACTTAACTTGTTATTTGTTCCATAATAAAATCATAAATATTTCACGTACAATATGAATGTTATTGCCGAATCACGAATAATTTAACATTTTTTAGTTGTGATGTGTGATTTAGTTGTGATGTTTTTATTTGTAATGTGTGTGTCAATTGTGTATTGTCATTGTGAATTAGTGTGAAGTGTAATGTTTTTAGTTGATCGTTTGTTTGTATTGTGAATAAGTCGTATTTAAGGTGCCGGTAATTGCTGTGATCTGTTCAGGGAGGTTTGTTCCAAGTTGGTATACCAACTTTCTAATGTAAGCCGTTGTTTATAGTCAGTACTGTAAGTAATGCATTTTGCCGAGTCAATGTCAATGTTGTGCTTTGTGATTTGGTGATGTTCGGCAATGTGATTAGTTTTGCCTTGTTTCTTTGTAGCTCGTTTGTGTTCAGTAAGTGTTATGTTTAAGTTCCTGCCAGTTTCCCCGAAGTAGGAGGCGTGGCAGTCGGAGTAGTTTATTTTTTAAACTGCACCTTGTCGTTCGTTGGGTTGTTCTTTGTCCTTTATGTTCGTTAGTACTTGTCGTAACGTTGTGATTGGTTTATGTGCGACACGTATGTTGTATGGTCGTAAGATACGCGAGATAGTCTCAGACGTACCTTTGATGTAACGTATCGTTGCTGTTGTCACCGAGTTGTTCGTTTCTTTGGGTTTGTTGGGTTTGTAAGTGATGCGTTTGATGAAGTCAGAGTTATAGTTGATTTTTGTCAAAAACACGTTTGAAATAGTTGTTTTCGTTGTGTAGAGCGTTCAGTGTATCACATATGATTTGTGCACGTCTTGTTAATGTTCTGATTGTGGTGGCTTTGTGTGATGTAAGGTTGTAAAATGATTGGTCTAAGTCGGTCAGTGTGTTTTGGTTTGCGATAAACTGTTGTTGGTAGTTTTTGACTGTTCTGTTTTACCAAACAGTCGAGAAAGGAAGAGTTCCGTTTTCTTCGACACTTTGGTAAATTGTATGTGGCTGTTCTGTTTGTTCATGTGAGTGTGAAAGTCATCAATCTCGTCCGCATGTAGTGCTGTGATTGTGTCATCTACGTAGCGAAACCAAAAAGGTAGTGCATGTTTGTAAGTCGTGAGCGCCCGTTCCTCTATAGATTGCATTACAATTTCAGCAACTACAACAGAAACGGGTGAGCCCATTGCTGTTCCATGTAATTGTTTGTAGTGAGTACCTTTGTACTGGAAGTAAGTCGAGGAGAGGCAGAGCTCCAGTAGCTCCATAATGTCTTCTGTCGGTAATGGCAGTACGTCTGTAGTGTTTGTATTGAGGGTTTTTGTACAAGTAAGTGCCAGATTAAGTGGAATACTGGTGAACAGTGATTTCACATCAAAAGACACTAGTATATAGTTGTCCGGTATTTGTATAGTGCTCAGTTTTTTAATGAATGTTTCAGTGGATTGTATATTGTGTTTTGATCTGCTTGTAAGTGGTTGCAGTATGTCAGTCAAGTACGTTGAGAGTTCGTAAGTAGGCGAACCACAGAATGATACAATTGTTCGCATGGGTATTTGTGGTTTGTGAAGTTTTGGTAGTCCGTATAGTCTGGGTGGTCGTAGCACTGAACATCTAAGTCGATAGCAAATACGGTCGGATATAATGCTAGATTTTCTCATAGAGAAGATCTTGCTGTTAAGTTTGCGTAATAGTGATGAAGTTGGGTCTCGTTTGAGTTGTTCGCACGTTTGTCTGTCGTTAACATGGGTGTCCATTTTGTCGAAGTAATCATTCCTGTCCATGACCACAGTCACGTGTCCTTTGTCTGCTGGTAAAATGACGATGTTGTTGTCGTGTTTTTAGTCGTTTGAGTGCTTCTTGCTCGTCCTTTGTCAAGTTGTTGTCACGTATAGAGGACGATTGTAAAGCGGAGGCTACCCTGCTTCTGATTCGTCTTTGGTTGTCTCTGACAAGTCTCTTTGATACGCTAGGACAGCCTCGACACTTGATACTATCGTCTCAGTCGGGATTCGTCTAGGTGTTATGGAATGTTTTAGTCCGTCAGATAGTAGTCGTGTTTCAGTTACCACGGACGTACTGCCATTACCGACAGAAGGCATTATGGAGCTACTGGAGCTCCATAATGATGTTTCTAGCAAGTCTTACACAAAACAAGACTAATATGATCAAAATCCTCAATGGGACCAACAATTATTAGAGAACGGTTTAATTAGAAAACAGCACTACAACTGTTTGCTACTACAAAAGGCATCAAAATGAAGTGCAAAGCAACACAAATAAAATCAAAGAGTCTCACCACATTTAAAATTCCAATGCTTCCAAATATGTCATCAGCTGCTACAATTGTTATATCACAACTTGGATGAAATGCCATTGTCATTATTGATTTCGGAACATTTTGCAACAAACACACTTGATTACAAATACTAATTAAACTTTAACCAATTAACAATTGATATGAAAAAAGTAAAAAACTACACCACGGTTGATGGTTCATGATCAAAAACTTAGCACTTTATCTTGACTAGAATTTTAAAAATAATCGAAACACGTTTCAAAATTTGATTATAAAATTTTGAATCAAATAACAATTTTCTTTTACAATTTTTAATTGAAATTAAAAGACAATATTGAAAAGTGTTCTATTGATTCATCTGTAATTTCTTCGTTTCTTCGGCATCAATTTCTTCCTTCACTTAAAGCTTACGTCAGCGAAAAATATCCTCGTCTGTATCGATATTATAATGTAAATCTTTAATAAACTGTATCCTGCTGCGATTGTTGTCAACAAGAAAGACATCGCAGTAAGTAGAGTTTAAAAGATTTGGTTGATTTTCTCAATTCGAAAGGCATTTTATGTCTATTAGAAAGCGTCGATCCCACTTCTAGTTTCATTAAGTATCGTAGCCTCTTCAATGACTGCATGAACATAAATCGGTAGAATCATAATATCATATCCAGAAATCAGGTTGATCTCGTATGGTAAGATGATAACAATGTATGACAATCTACAAAAAGTTATGTACTTCGCTAAGTCCTGCGCATCTAAAATATTTTCAATTTGAGTTTAACATTGAGCAGTTGATCAAGAATGAATTCTGAAGGGATATTGAGTAGGAAAACCAAAATGACTTAACGAAGCTTCTCACAGAGGAATCTTACGAACCATCGAAAAACTTCATGATAAAATGGGTAGATTTTATGTCCACAATCGGATGGCAAGGCAAACCACGATGAAGAAATTGAACTTTGGTAAGAACATGCTTATTGTATAATTTGATAGTTTGATGGCTTAAAAACTTGCTACTTCCAACAGAATACTTCCGTCATAGGCATTATTAATACCCATGTTATATTCGTCCATTCACATTTGCCATAAGTGAAGTAGACTCGAGTTGAACTGTGTCCCACGAAGAGTGCTTTTTATTAACAATATTTTCACTATCTCTTCTCATCTAAACGATTAAAGCGCTTAGAATCCAATAGAAAATAACTTGATGGTTGATTAACAGCTTAGCATGCGCTGAACCTTTCTTATCCCATCAAATCCTTCCATCCACATGTAAAATGACGATTATTTCATCCCGTTTGAACACCATCCTATCCTTCCATCCACATGTAATAACACAATCGTTTCACCCGTTTCAACAGTGAAATAAGTGACGGAGAAGCGACAACGCAAACTAGGATATCAAGACCAGTCACTGGGATACGGATATTGCAAGAAATCCCTAAACGTTTCATAATTTTAGTTATGATTGCACTGGCTAATTTCAACATGTATTGCATAAGGATGTGTGTGAACGTGACCATTGTAGCAATGACGCACGGAGAAGATGACCATGCAGCATATCACAAATGTCACGTTCATAAAGAGACGAGGTAAGAAAAAAATGCAATGCTTGCTTTTATCACTTGCTACATATAGATGACAAACTGAAGTTTAGATTTAAACTTCAAATTCAACTTCTTGTTTCCTGCTGCAGTTTTTCATCACAGCTTTGGCAATTTTGATTTTCCTTCGGAAATGATATAGTATGTGGAGGCGGTATTGTACACTGGTAGTTGATACACAGCCAATTACGTTAGTCTGTGGCGGCGGTATTGTACGCTGGTAGTTGATACACAGCCAAGTACGTTAGTATGTGGCGGTGGTATTGTACGCTGGTAGTTGATACACAGCCAATTACGTTAGTCTGTGGCGGCGGTATTGTACGCTGGTAGTTGATACACAGCCAATTACGTTAGTATGTGGCGGCGGTATTGTACACTGGTAGTTGATACACAGCCAATTACGTTAGTATGTGGCGGCGGTATTGTACACTGGTAGTTGATACACAGCCAAGTACGTTAGTATGTGGCGGCGGTATTGTACACTGGTAGTTGATACACAGCCAAGTACGTTAGTATGTGGCGGCGGTATTGTACGCTGGTAGTTGATACACAGCCAAGTACGTTAGTATGTGACGGCGGTATTGTACACTGGTAGTTGATACACAGCCAAGTACGTTAGTATGTGGCGGCGGTATTGTACACTGGTAGTTGATACACAGCCAAGTACGTTAGCATGTGACGGCGGTATTGTACGCTGGTAGTTGATACACAGCCAAGTACGTTAGTATGTGGCGGCGGTATTGTACACTGGTAGTTGATACACAGCCAAGTACGTTAGTATGTGACGGCAGTATTGTACGCTGGTAGTTGATACACAGCCAAGTACGTTAGTATGTGACGGCGGTATTGTACACTGGTAGTTGATACACAGCCAAGTACGTTAGCATGTGACGGCGGTATTGTACGCTGGTAGTTGATACACAGCCAAGTACGTTAGTATGTGACGGCGGTATTGTACACTGGTAGTTGATACACAGCCAAGTACGTTAGTATGTGACGGCGGTATTGTACACTGGTAGTTGATACACAGCCAAGTACGTTAGTATGTGGCGGCGGTATTGTACACTGGTAGTTGATACACAGCCAAGTACGTTAGCATGTGACGGCGGTATTGTACGCTGGTAGTTGATACACAGCCAAGTACGTTAGTATGTGGCGGCGGTATTGTACACTGGTAGTTGATACACAGCCAAGTACGTTAGTATGTGACGGCGGTATTGTACGCTGGTAGTTGATACACAGCCAAGTACGTTAGTATGTGACGGCGGTATTGTACACTGGTAGTTGATACACAGCCAAGTACGTTAGCATGTGACGGCGGTATTGTACGCTGGTAGTTGATACACAGCCAAGTACGTTAGTATGTGACGGCGGTATTGTACACTGGTAGTTGATACACAGCCAATTACGTTAGTATGTGACGGCGGTATTGTACACTGGTAGTTGATACACAGCCGTACGTTAGTATGTGGCGGCGGTATTGTACGCTGGTAGTTGATACACAGCCAAGTACGTTAGTATGTGGCGGCGGTATTGTACGCTGGTAGTTGATACACAGCCAAGTACGTTAGTATGTGACGGCGGTATTGTACGCTGGTAGTTGATACACAGCCAAGTACGTTAGCATGTGACGGCGGTATTGTACACTGGTAGTTGATACACAGCCAAGTACGTTAGTATGTGACGGCGGTATTGTACGCTGGTAGTTGATACACAGCCAAGTACGTTAGTATGTGACGGCGGTATTGTACACTGGTAGTTGATACACAGCCAAGTACGTTAGTATGTGACGGCGGTATTGTACACTGGTAGTTGATACACAGCCAAGTACGTTAGTATGTGGCGGCGGTATTGTACGCTGGTAGTTGATACACAGCCAAGTACGTTAGTATGTGACGGCGGTATTGTACGCTGGTAGTTGATACACAGCCAAGTACGTTAGTATGTGGGGCGGTATTGTACGCTGGTAGTGGATAAACAGCCAATTACGTTTGTAATTCATCTAATAGTCTATGAAAGTCAGAAAATTTTACAAAGCATTACGGTAAAAACCACGGACTAATGTCCCATTTATCTCTTTAAGGAGCCAGAATAGATCTGCTGTGAGTAATTGGAGTTTTGTGCACAGATAAATACACGGAGGTGGGGGTTGGTTGTGTAGAATGGAATGATTTGCTTCAGATCTTAACATTGTGTGGTGGCGAACAATCTATTTGACCTCGTGACAATGTGCGGAATCAATCATATGTTGTAATAAGAAATTATTTTTGAAGTTTACTAAATTCATCTAATATTGCTTATGGCAGTACTCTAATGCCGCCAGCATGTATTAGCACCATGTAATAAAATGTCATATCAGATGCAATCAACTGGTAACAATGATAGACGTTTGCAGGTACAATTCTGGCGTCCCTTTACTGGAGCTATACTGCTCTTCAAATACCGGCAGGATTGCTTTGTACAAAGTATGGCAGTTCATTTCTACTTGGTATTGCAATTTTTGGCTCCTCGGTTCTTACGCTTTTCACACCACTGATCGTTAGGGCGAACGTCAGTGCCTTCATAGTACTACGGGTACTGGAAGGTGCATTCTTGGTAAGGTATAACTTTTCAGCTTTATGAAAGCTTATTTGATAGTGTGTAGCAAACTATAGAGATGAGATTTTAGTCGTTGAATATGCTATATATACCTTTAAATTGCGACGACTTTAGTCAGTTTTATTCCACAAAACAATTCAGCATGCACATGATAAGATAGTTTTATCTTAAGCAAAATTCCATTCAAGTTTTCATAGTAACTCACTAAATGCGTAGTTAATGCTAGGACATTTATGTGAAAGTGTGTGGATAGCCACGAGAATATCCGCTAAAATTTTTCGTCAATTGTTTGGCCTAAATGTACGACAATCATTAAGTCCAATCGCAAATTGCTCGATTAACCTGGTTTGTCTAACAATTTGGCTGCCCTCCTTGCTTGGTAAGCCCATGGTAGTAACAAGAAATTTTTTGCATGTTTGTTGACGTAGATTGTCCAGGTTAGTAGAGTCTCGAGAAGGAATGTTGATGTTGATGTTGACTGTGACAGCACTTGATGACTACCGCTAAGGTTTTTGAAACGTCAGTCAACACCAACAACAACAGTTCTTCTCAAGAGTCTACTAACCTGGACGATCTACGTGTACAAACATGTAACGATACTCCCGGGTTCAAACCATTCATTTTATCAAGAAAAATCTCCATATTTACATGAAGTCGTACATGATGTGATTGTTTTCCATAGGGTTTGGTGGCGAGTTCAGGCATTGATTTAATAAGCAAATGGTCACCTATTTACGAAAGGAGTATTTTCGTCACCGTTTCATATGCAGGTGATTGAATGATCGTAATTTATGATGTCATTTATGTTGTACATAAATGCTTTCGTAAGACACATATAAAGTACGTGCATCTGATGAATCAATATAATTTTCAATATTATATTAATTTGCAGCGCTAGCTGTTGAAATTGACGCGCAACGGAGCTTTAGCTACGTACTTTCGAAATTTGTGATTTCGTCAAAACATTTAAAGCGCTGTTTTATGAGTAGATTTTGATTTCTACAGCTTGCATAAACAAACGTCGTCAACAATTTAAAACTTACCCATGATCCTCTCATGCAGGTCTTCTGTGGGGAACAGTTTTGCGAACTCAATAAGTGGTCTTCTGGCCGGTAGTTCATACGGATGGCCGTCCGTTTTACTTCTTTGGTAAGTTTTCGTTCATCGCTTTTTCAAGGATCTAATGAAAATAAATCATTACGTCATAAATTTATAAAACAATTATCAGAGAATACTAGCATACAGAAGATAATCTTTTATTGCTTTCGTTCAAGTGCCTTAAAACGCCAGTCATACAGTGCAGAAAACAGGAAAATCCCCTTGCGTGGCAGATATTTCATTAGAATATTTTTTCAGCCATTTCGATGGAAGGGGGTAATTGCCTGTGTTTTCAACACTGACTGTTGAATCATGACGTATTTCGCAAAAACAAAAACAACTGAAGATAACAAAAGTGATGATTCCTTAGCAAACCAAGTTAAAAAGTTGCTCTAGCTGTTGCACCTAAACGAGAAAATATTTTTTCATTTTTTTCATTTGTTGAAGGAGCTCAAGGAGTCCTCTGGTATTTATGTTGGCTGTATCTGGGGGTGGAACAACCAGCCGATCATCCTACTATATCTCGGTCTGAGATACAAAAGATTGGAAAACACTGGACAACTAAAGTAAATATCTTAAAATGATTGAACAATATTACTTGAATTTAAATATTTGATTTATTTTCTTTATTTATTTATCATATTCTATTTCTTCATTCACTAGACAACATAAATTGACGTGAAACAATACAATACATGTAGTGGAACTAATTGGTTCCAAAGTATGACAGATCAAAAAGTACTATTTATTTGCAACACAACATATTTATTTTATTTTCTTTATTTATCATATTCTATTTGTTTATTCACTTGACAACGTAAAACAGTGTAAGTAGTGGAACTAATTGGTTCCAAAGTATGACAGATCAAAAAGAACTATTTATGTGTAACATAACAGTTCATCTGTGTGTATTTACAGTTGAAATTTCGTGAAATTCCATGGAGATATATGCTCACATCGATAAGAGTTTGGGCGATCATACTTCCCGTCTTTATGGATTGTTGGTGTTTCTACACATTTATGCTTTCACTTCCAAGCTATCTCAGTGATGTTCATAAACTAGATATAACAACGGTTCGTGGATTTTTTATGAAAATTGAATTCATTGAAAGCATGATGTTAATGCAAAATCATGATCATGTAGATGTTACGGTAGTTTATACATAGCGCCCTTTCAAAGGAACAAAAAGTTTATTGAGTTGGTACTAATGTGAGTAATGTATAGTTTTAAGCTATACATTACATAACCTATACATTATACAAGTTTTAACCATATAAAAGGAGAGAACAGCTAATCCACCAATCAGCCACCATCTGTATTATTGATCTCTATGTTCAGGCTGAATGTATAAATAAACAAAGAACTTTAACAAATGTACTTTAAACCACTTTTAACAAAGATGTATTAATGGAAATTTAAACTAGCAACGCTATTTGTAATGCTATGACTTAAAGGAATGCAACAACCCACATCTGTTTCACTGACAGTTGTCTAAACCAATAACAAAGGATTTCATATAAATGTTAGCTTTGCAAACATCAGTTACATCTCGAGCAAATTTAGGCTACCCACATGTATGCTCGTGTACCTATTTTTAAATTTCAATTAAGAGAATAATCTTCTATTATAACCTCAATGAATTTGTTTTGTCATAAGCTCAAATGGTTGGAAATAAGACCTATGCATGCAATAAATTGAACAAAAACAAGTTGTAAGATAAGATTAATGAGAAGAGTAAATGAAAACGATTTGAAAAACATCATGAACTTATATCATTGTTTTTTTTTTCTTATACAGATTGGTTTCACTAGTTCCATTCCTTATGTAGTAGCAGGACTACTCACACCTGCATGGGGATTTTTCATAGATATGTTGAGAAAACGAAAATATTTAAGCACAACAAATGCCAGAAAACTCTCTTATTTGTTTGGTAAGATTTATTTTACCACATGCTTTTTCATAAGTTTGCAATCATAATAATTAATATGACTCTCTTAAAAGTGTTGACTCTTGAGAGAAGTGGTTGAGGAACGAGAATAAAATGTTGCATAAACCATCATTATGAGAAGTAACTTTATTGCTTAATATTATACCAACATCATTTCTAAGCTTTATTTAAAATAAATTTTACTCACCCCCTTAGCAGTTGTACTAAAATGGACATGAAACTTCATGGTAACATAATGTTGATTTTAACTTTCTTCTGAAAAAGTTTGGAACATTCATTTGAACATTAGAATATTCCTACAAACTTTCAAGTGTTTTCTTTTTAGTTGCATGTTCAAAACTTACGGAAGATAATCTGATTAGTCAATATCTATATATGTTAGCCAATCAGATCATTTTCTGTAAGTTTGAAGATGCAAACTAACAAATAAACATTTGAATGTTCAAATGAATACTCAAAACTATTTTAGAGATACACAAGGTGAAATTGACAGTATCTATTCTCCAATATTGAATTTTCGTGGTTCTCTTCATACTTTAGGTGCTGGAATAGGTGGAGTCTTTATCTTTGCCATGGTTTATGCATCTAATGCCTCAACTGCTATTGTCATAGCAACCATAGCAATTACAGTATCAAACTTTAGCTAAGTGGTCCAGGAGCAAACTTGGTGAGCTTGCACCAAAGTATTCAAGTGTATTAATGGGTATTTCTAACTTTGCCTGTAATATCACTGGTTTTATTTCACCAGAAGTGGTTGGAAGTCTTACAGAGCACGGGTAAGAATAAATGAGCTTTTATAACATTTCAATTTAATCCAATAGCATATTAAACATGCAATTAGCCATTAGTAAAAGTATAAAAATAACTTACAATTTCTTAGAATATTCATCATCAATGGGCAATTGTATTCTATATCACGGCTGCCATCGAGGTTTTTGGAATGCTCTTGTATCTTGTATTTGGTTCGTCAGAAAAACAACCATGGGCTGATAATTGAGTCGTTCACTCACTTTCTGAAGTCTCTGTGTCCTCCCAGAGCATTTTTATGTTTTATAATTCATCGTTCTTTTATTTTTAATCACTATAACATTCAATATTTAGAAAATATTTATTAAATTTTTGTTGCAGTACAGTTGTTTTTCTTTGCACGCACAGTCGTACACTACGTGCACCGCAGTGCAGCAGCAGTCCAGTATCCACTGACTTGGATATGTGTTTTAGTCACGTGATCTAATTTCGGTAACTTTGTGACATTCATTTATACTGATCATACACTTTATCTTGTAGTCATTTCACCCATTTGCAATTTTCAAAACATTTAAAATTTGTAAATACTGACAGTAATAAAATATCAATGAATGACTTAAGTCACTCGACTTAATTTGTCAAAAATAACAGGTGCATGTCTTGTCAACAACACTAGGTACATGTCATTGATATCAATGATTAATCCAGGTGCCTTGATCAAATTTACTAAATCATAAAAGCCACTCACTCATGCTATTCAAGTCAGTTAAAATAACTGCAAACGTTGGTCAGCCAAGATCTTACAAGCTAGACCCAAGCATGGCACACATGCAAAATGTCAATGACAACCATAGAGGTAAAGAATTGTCATCTTTTATTTTACTATAGAACATTTGCTATATATGTTGATATTTTTTAAGTATTTTATACAACACAAACAAACCACTACGTCCGTCTTAAGAGGAAAGGCATAAATCTGTTCCACAACAACTTATGCTATGTTGCCTAAACTTACCTTTGTATCATATGATGTATTATTTTATGTTAAGTCCTGATGTCCACCAAGCAATTCAGGAGGAAAAGATCAAGGAAACTCATACCGACTGTACCTGAAAAATGGAAGGAAGAATTTGACAAATTAGCACTGGTAACTATAACCATTTATTTAAAAATAGATGATTTCATAACACTACAAGTTGTCTTTGTGTTGTGTTTAGAAACCAAGGTCAATCCAAATCAAATTGCTAAATCCACACATCACGTGTCCAGTTTGTCAAGGATATTTAGTTGATGCTACAACAATAACTGAATGTCTACACTCATGTTAGTATTTTCACATATTTCACAAACTGCTAGTCCAACACTTGTGTTGCCATCATTGGTTAGAGGGTGATTATGACAAAATTTTCACACTTGGCTATGTTTTAAGTTTGTAGAAGTTGTATTGTGAAGCATTTTGAGAGAGTTCGTTGCAACTACAAATGTCCACTATGCCATGAGCTTGTGCATAAAACAAATCCTTGGTATAATCTGAAGTAAGGAGAACCATCTAATTTTGTTTTAAGTACCAGAGGTGGGCAAAATTTGATGCTATGCTTTTCAACTTCCAGAACCGATTGTGTTCTTCAGGACATAGTTAATAAACTGGTACCTGATTTTGCAGAAGGTTAATGTTTTTTCCTCAAATTGGCGACATTGATTTTCAATTTACATGCATACCACTTTAATAGATCAATATTTTATTTCATCCTTCTCAGCTGAAGAAAGATGCCGAAGAGTTTTCTACAAAAGCAGGGGACTTGCCATCCCAGACAAAGGTTCGACAGTGTATTTTCGTTCATTTGTGTTGTTATATGCATGATAATTCTAATGATCATAATCCTGATTACTGCAGTCATAAAACCAGACATACAGAGACCTCAAATTAATCATGCTACAGTTACAAGAGCAGAAAGTACCTACTCTCAATCACACCCACAACAAGTAGAAGCACCTTTGGAACCTATTGAAAATACACCAGAATACTACATTGAAGATGAGAATGATGAAATTACAATGCAACTTGAAATGAAAAGGTTGGTGATCAATACCAAATTTCCTGCAGTTGAAAAATTTATTCATTGACACTTGATCATAATATATTGCAATGGATCATTATGTATATTTTAGTGTTGATGAATTCACACTTGAAGATATAGAGGTAGCAGTTTGGTACAAGAGATTCAATATACAACAGTTCAATAAGACAGTTTAAGGCAAACTTCACTTCTGCACTTAATAAGTCATTCATGGAAACATGAGCATCATATTTTTCACTTCATGTTGACAATTGAAAATACAAATGGTTGCTTAATTTCACTCAAGTAGTTTAGGCGAAGACATGTGCTTGTTTTGATATGCTGCCAATTCTAACATGCTATATGCATTGGTTTTATTGCAGCCATTGAAAAGAAAATTTGTCCGTTGCTCGAATCAGGTGACAATTGGATTACTTCAAGCATTCTTAGCAAAGAAATTGAATCTTGAAGCTGCAAATCAGGTACCAGTATACATCTGAGTATGTTGATCACGTGAGTCAATCAAATATAAAGCTTTTGCACTTTATTTTAAGATTGAAATAATTTGTAATGATATGGAAATGGGATCAGACTTTACTTTGCAGTTTATAAAAGAAACTATTGCCGAGGAAGAAGTGAGTTTCCACCTTAAGAATTATCAATATAATTATTCTGAGAAATCTTCAAAGTTTACTCTGCTTTTCACATGTATTTCGTTTTCAGGACAGCAGTAAACCATTGCTTTTGTATTATGGTCTCAGTGATATATACTGAGCATAAACTAGAGAAGAGTGAGGAAAGTGTTAATAAAAGTGATGTTCAGGCTGACTCTTATCATTTCCGAACTCAAGTAATGTTAACAAGATGAAAGAACAAGAACACTTTACTTAACATTGACCTGTAGGAGAACAGATGAATTAAATCTAAATCAGCATGATAGTATCAGTTGCTCTCGCGACTAAAGTAATTTATTCCTAGTCGTTTTCCACTTATATAAACCAAAGAAAAGAACAAAGAAAAGTTATTATTACATAACTCAAAGGTCTTACGTGCCTTTCACGTTGATTACCACAAGCGAAAGAACTTAAGTGTGCGCTTGAAAACTTTTCATGCAAAGCTTCAACTTGGAACATCAACTCATTTAAACTCTTGCCTGTCTTATTGTATGCCAGAAAAAGTTTAATGTTTATATATGGAATCCATTTATCATACAATTCCTTTTTCATTACTATAAACAGTAAACAATGTGCCCCCGTTTCCAGGAACACGAAAAACAACCCACATTATTTTTCATGAAAAAACGCTACATTACCAGAAAAAAACTAGGTCAGCATTCTTTAACAACACCGAAGCAGCTAAGTTTTGAAACGCACGATAAATTGTTAAGAATGAAAAACGACCGCTGTAAATAAAGAAAGGTTTTACCACAAGTGACATGTGCTATCACTAACTCTGCTCTCAAAACTCTGGCAAACATAACAACATTCTTGCTTTAAGCACGGACGTCTGGATCTTCTTATTCGTTTCGCTGGTTTCATAGCACATCCTTCGTTTATTGAGTGCATGTTACTAATGAAATGGAGGCCGTTTTAGTTTTCGCCTTGTTTTTTTTCATGTTCAGGCTGTTCACTTGTTTGCGAGCTATCTTCTTTGTGCGAGCTATCTTCTTTTTCCGAAGCCATCTTGGAAAAACGAAGGAAAGTTAAATGGAACAAGTGAAATACTTTAAATAAAGCACCGCACTATCTCGACTTTAAGAAAATACTTACCTTTTTATAAGCCATCTCAAATAATTTGAGTGACTTCTGTTGTAATTCGTTACATCGCTCTTTAATTTCTTCCGCAGAAGAATTCTCGGTGTTTGCCAACACCTCGCGTACTTTGGTAATTTCCTCCTTCAAACTGGCAACCTAGCAATACCATATAAGGTGTTAAGCAATACCATATAAGGTTTTAAGTAATACTATATAAGGTATTGTCATAGATTCAGAGATTAGTTAAAGTATTTGAACTGTGTCTGGTATTGTTATAGTATTAATCGATGGTCTTTTGCAAAAAATACGTCAAAAACTAGCAGCTTGTAAATGAATTGTTTTGATTTAGATCACACCAAAGGTTCGCGTTGAAGTGAAACTAACCTCGTCTTGTGGCAACTGATCTTTGAACTCTTCAATTTTCGATTCTGTGTCATGTAAAATGCTTTCAGCATGGTTGACTGCTTCAGTTTTTTCCTAGTGAACGTGTAAAAAACATATTGAAAAGGCTGAAGAGAAAACTCTATACAGAGACATTTAACATATGGTGAACGAGTAAACTGTGGCTATCCTTCACTTCAACTACAACGTCAGTTCCTTTCGTGCTCACCTTTCTTTCTCTGTCACTTTCTGCATACATTTCAGCTTGTTTAATCATATTTTCAATCTCATCTTTGTTCAAACCACCAGAAGATTGGATGACAACTGTACAAATAATCAAATAATGCAACAGTAACTCTCCAAAACACTATAGCTGTTGAATAACTGATCACAAAACCAAAAAACATGCACACAACAATTGGGGATGAGTGTACAACATAAAATAAATTTAAACCAAGGAATGCTGTCAAACATATTAATTAAATGCCTTTAACCCCTCGTTGTCCCTTTAGCAGATCTTCAACAATCACTGAACCAATTGAACTGTGATTTAAAAAAGATGTGATCCATATTAATGTAGAAATTATAAGTACTTGTATATTAACAAAAATGAAGAGTGTAAAATCAGTTAAAACTATTAGTTTTCTTAAAGCCTGACTTTTTCACATAAGTATATTAGTAGTAATCTCTGCTACGCTGACCTGACAAGATTTTCGTTGTCATTCAAACCGTTAGCCATGACGTACTTACTCTGTTGTTCTTTTCCAGTTCCCTTATCACGAGCGGACACGTTGACAATGCCATTAGCATCAATGTCGAACGTGACGTCAATTTGTGGTATACCACGCGGTGCAGGTGGGATGCCAACCTAACGCGAACGATGAAGATTAGAAATATCAAATACATTGACGTTGTCCAAAAAAATAAGTATACATTCGTAATGCTCACCAAAGAAAACTGTCCCAAAGTTTTATTATCTGAAGCCATTTCACGTTCACCTTGACAAACCTTAATTTCCACTTGCGTCTGACCATCAGCTGCGGTGGAGAACACCTACAAAGGTATGAAAAGTACAATGCTTAAACTGGATCAAGTCAATGGCAATTGAGCTTCATAGATACACTGTGATGATTTCAATCACATCATACGTATGTAGTGTACAAGTGAAATTTGCTATGTTACAGTGGTGTAAATTACAAAGGAATCTTGCTGAATTTAATGGTAAAATACTGAACCTGGCTCTTTTTCGTAGGAATAGTCGTGTTTCTCTCTATGAGCTTGGTAAAGACACCACCAAGCGTCTCAATGCCAAGGGATAAAGGTGTAACATCCAACAGAAGAACGTCTTTCACATCACCAGCAAGAACTCCACCTTGAATGGCCGCTCCTAAAGCAACAGCTTCGTCCGGATTTACAGCCTTACTTGGCGAACGACCAAATATCTCCTTCACAAGTTCTTGCACCTAATTGATTCATTAACATTCCTTAGTTCTGCTATGGGATCCATTGAAATAAACCAGAGATACAAGGATTGTGAAAGTTTTAAACAAAACACTGCTGTTTGGACACTAATAATTTAGATGAAGCTCAAACATCTATCAACCAAAATACCGGTATATAGCTGTGAGGTTATAATATTGGTTCTTTTTTATGCATCAAAAACTTTCTACGCCAAAGAACCGATATTTTTGGTTTTATTTTTCCTTAGACGTCCTCCAAACGTCCACCTTCCTTTAAAGTTTCAAAACAGTTCAGTTCCTTCTTTCCATTCAAAACCGCAAGAAAAGAGTCCAATTTGGGAATATTTCAAAAAGAAAACAAAACCAGTTTGCAGTGTGAGGTTTGTGACAGAATGCAATCAGCACAGTACATAGCAAAACCACAGATCTGTGAAAACACATAGAAAACAAGCACACGTTGACTTATGCTGAAATGGACAACTTTACAGCGTCTATTCGTCATAATTTTTCATTTTAAAAATGGGCGAAATTCAACAAACTAAAAACCAGATAAAATTCTGGAGCAACACAGCTCAACACCAGACCAAGTCAAAACAAAATATACAGATTAGGTCAAACTGATACCTTAGGCATCCTTGTCATACCACCAACCAACAACACTTCTCCAATATCTGACATTGTACAATCAGCATCCTTCATACATTTTTTACAAGGTTCAACAGTTCTTTGAATCAAATCAGCAACAAGTGACTCAAATTTTGCTCTTGTTAATTTCATGTTCATGTGCTGGGGTCCTGACGCTCCAATAGTAATGTAAGGTAGATTGATATCCGTCTATAAAGCATGATAGAAGTGAAGTTACTTTTGCAATGTCATTTAAAATAAACTGTTAGGGGATTAATTAATGACTAAACATGCAATCAATCGTTTTTGTGCAAGCAATCAAATCAATTATTGTGTAAACAAACTTGTATCGACGACGATAACTCAATCTTTGCTTTTTCAGCAGCTTCTCTTAATCTTTGAATTGCCATGTTGTCCTTCGTAAGATCAATTCCTGACTAAAAATGAGAGCATAATTTATTCGATTAGTTAACTTAAGTTATATCAATCAAGGTTCTTTAAAACAATTCTATCGTTTGATATTTCAATTTAAATCAGTGTGCGAATTAGTTCCGAAAAAACGATGTGCAATTTTTTTGACAAAAGTGTTTCTTTAGATGCATAATCAAATCGATATTACGTTATTTATTATATAGCGCTAATTGCTAAATTAATATTTTTAAACGTGAAACAAATTCATATGATTTACGACAGTGTTTTTGGTTACAACCGCTGATCCAGTTACAAATGTATGAGAGAAATTTTTTTCGCATGTTATTCTCTCCTCTTTTTTGTGCAAACTTTACAGCGCAATAAATTCACCACTTGAACAAGAAAGACTGGAAAGTGAAAAGAGAATAACGGAATATACTTTTGCTTTCTGATTATTAACAGCAACATTCTTGATATTTACTCACGATAAAAAACATCATATTTATGTTATATTACAAAAAAGTATGGCTGATCAAGGCTGCCAGTTGGGCTTAATATTTTGAGCCAAATTTGGCTTAATATTTGAGCCAAATTTGGCTTCTTTTTCTCACGTTAGGCTTATTTAAACTCAAAATTCCCTTTGGTTTATTTCTTTAAATTTGGCTTATTTAAGTTTTTTTTGTCTTCTTTTAGGAATCAAAATGTTGCGATTTTACTGAAAATACTCAAAACAGCTATGATGCCAAAAACAGTACGTAACGGTTTACAAACAATGCAAATGCAAAAATTGACATTAATAATGTATTACACACCTATTGTCATAAGCATATAAGCACCAAGTATGTTGACTGTTGACAGACTTCTCAGTCTCAGTGACAACATCTTTGAATTTGATGACATTGTGCCAACATACATGGATTTTAATGTCGTGCAGCACACTCGTTTATAAAGTAAAGATCAGTAAAGATTAAGCTTGAAAATTTTTTTCAATTTATGTGGTAGTAATCAATAAATAAGTTTTTTGCATATCGTTTGAAAAAGTGATGTGCAATTGTTTTCATTTTAGCTAAAACGATGTGCAAATTGCACATTGCACACAGTTAATTTGCACACTGATTTAAATACTGGGCAGATGAAATATTTCATACCTCTCTTTTGAATTCTTTTACAAGATACTGAAGAAGAGCATTATCAAAATCTTCACCACCCAAATAAGTATCACCATTTGTTGCTTTCACTTCAAATACACCCTTTTGGATTTCCAAGATGGACACATCAAATGTACCACCACCAAGATCATAAACAGCTAAGCTAAATAATAAAAGCACATTTCAGCATTATTCAGTACGATAGTAAATTGATGTGAAATTCTTTTCCATGTATTTAATTTATTGGCATTTATACATATCATTAATTATGTATGTCATTAATACATAATTTTAGAAACCAAAAAAGCAACACAATTAGCAATTTTAGTCATATATCATTTTATCCAAAATACATTTTATCTTCTGCTCTATCCATTCCATAAGCAAGCGCTGCAGCTGTAGGCTCATTGATGACACGAAGGACATTCAAACCTGCAATCTGGCCGGCATCTTTTGTTGCCTTAAATAAATAATCCATGGTTATCATAGAAACAGCCATTAAACCTAAAGACTTGAACTTTGACATGACTGAGACATGACAATATCTTTGCTTTGACAAATTTTATGTTACCTGTCTTTGAAAATCGTTAAAATAGGCAGGTACAGTGACAACTGCATTTTGTACAGTTGTGTTCAAGAAACTTTCAGCAGTTTCTTTCATTTTCATCAAAACAAATGCACCAATTTGACTAGGTGAGTACATTTTCCCTTGAACATCAAACCAAGCATCGCCATTTGATGCCTTTACAATTTTAAATGAAAGGTTTTTACTGCAAGAAATATATTAAAGGGAAATTCAGTTACAATAAAAAATATTCTTTTTCATGAAGTGTTTAACAACAAGCATATACATACAGATCTTTTTGAACTTCAGAATCATTAAAGCGTCTTCCTATGTATCTTTTTGTTGCATAAAGGGTATTTTGAGGATTGGTCACTGCCTAAAAGTTCACAAATAGATCCATAACTTCAGCACTTTTCTTTGCAATGATTCTGCTGGCTTTTTATCAACAAAGACAATCAAATAAATCAGGCATAAGTCATATAGATTAGGCTAATAAATGTTGCTTATACAAAAGACAGCATCAGTTACAAATCAGAGTCTGCATAAGCACCAATAATGGCTTTTCATACCTGTCGTTTTGCGGTGCTCCAACAAGTCTTTCTCCATCTGATGCAAATGCTACAACTGATGGAGTCGTCCCTGCTCCCTCAGCATTTTCAATCACCTTAGGTGTTTTGCCTTCCATAACAGCAACACATGAGTTTGTTGTACCAAGATCAATGCCACAAACTGCTCCACGTACATCAGAACTTAAAGTAGATGAAATTTTGAACAAATGAAAAACTAGTTGGACTTGTTACAGAGCGGAAAAATTAGTTGCTCATCGTACTTTTAACAGCCTCTTTAGCACATTTATAAACTCACTTGAACATCAAAATTAATGAGTTGTATTGATAAAGAGAAAATACATGATAAATGTTTTACAAGTATTTGGGGAAAAAAAATAAATGAAGGGTGATAATCTATACACAGATAGTTCATTACATATTTGACTTCAAAAACAAAAGATAAAAATTTTTGAGAAAAAATGCAGCGTCATGTTAGCTCATTCAGTTTAATTTTCTCCAAAACAACTAACTGAAGCAATTTTTTGTAATCATATAATGGAGCACAAACTCCTTTTCAAAAAAATTCAGCTGCAATGGTGAGTTAGTTGTTTTGGTGTTAAGACCATTCAACCTTTCAATTTAGTATAATTAATTGGTAGTTTTCAAATAAACTTTTTACTTACGCATAAGATCTGAATGGTGCATTATGAGTGGAGATTGTTTGACTCAATGTACTTCTATTAATCTAAACAAAAACAAAAAATCTCAGTAGTCAATGATAATTTTGAGGCCATACTTCAAGCACACGAAAACAGAACACGTGCATAAAGTGCTCATCAAGCCAAAACATATTTCAGAATCTATGCAATTTTCCAGCAATTCTTTTCTTACCCTCGAAAACGAACGTGTGATATTTGCACACCGCAAAGTATTGAGAGCGTTCTTTGCTGAAAATCTCGATAAACCCATTGCAAAAGACATGATTTCACGCTGTAAAAATAACCACAGTAGACTTCGGCAATGTTGGTTCTGACGCAATGAGAATTTATGATAGGATATGAACTTGCGTAACCAGTATCACAAACTCGGCCCAGTTTCCCCATTTGCAACGACTCTTTCTGACTCTTTCGCGTTTTATACAGTGGTTTTATGGCCCACTGGAAAAACGTATATTCTCCAGTTTCACCGTTGTATTAAGAAGCAGAAAGGCAGACACATGTGTTTGTCTTAGTGAAAAACGGATAAATCTATTGCCGTAATACGAACGTGAAAACTCTACCAAGTAGTATGTAGGTACTAAGTGATGACATGTTTATCACATATCGATTGTAATCACGCTCGCCCCAGGGTGACGTTACAGCTATGAAGTAATTCAATGCAGTACTTACTTTAAAAACACAGCAAAAACAGAACTGTTACAGTCCTCGTAGACGACAGTAAAGCATACGAGATTGAGCATTAAAATTGCATGCATGGGCATTTGACAAAAATGTGTCATTGAAGTAGATGGATAGATGAAGTCTAAAACATTGATACACCATCCCAAATGAAGGGAAGTGAGTAACGATATAAGTTCTCTGAGGCAACTCAAATTTTTGAATTTTCCCTAAACTATTTTTAAGCACAAGACACGCTTTTATGAATCTTTTTTTTTGTTTTTTATAGCGGGTACCAATGTCATGGAGATTATTCGCTTGACTAAACCAACCTTGAAAAACCTATGTGGCAATTTTTTATATATACAACGAAGAAAATCTTTAGTAAATATCTTACGTTTATCGCAAGACACTTTATGAACTTTTACAGAGGGAGCAGGAACTTCAAATGTGTTTTATGATGGGTCAATGGACGATGAGATGAATGAAATAAGACAAACCGTTTCACGATGTTTTAAAGAATCGATCATTAATAATATTCTGAAAAGTTATCAATAATTACTTCATTAGTGTCTTGATAATTACCAAAAACGGATGCATTAATATGAAAAAATGAATGCCAAATTCCGCAGCAAAATTCCTTCTTGAAAGGCGGAATCGTGTAAGTATGATTACATACCTATTTCTTACGTCTTTATTGAAGGAAAAGCAGGTGAACTCTTTGCTACAGCAACTTTCAACAAAAATTATTATTAGTTTCTTTATATAGTTCTTCTTCTCCAAAAAAATGCAAGTTGTCAGAATTCAATCGTTTGGTTTCTTCGCTCTTATGACAGCAAATTTTATTCTATGCAAAGGTAGTAATTTTATGAAAAAACTAGGAGGGTTTGAAAAACCTTTGCGATGTATATTATGAAGCGTTCCCTTACTTTTGTTTCAAATGATACAGACACTGAAACCTGAATGAATTAATCAAGGAGGAAATTACCATAGAATTAACCAATAGAATTACCATGGAATAAACCAATAGATTTATCATGGAATAAACCAATAGAATTACCATAGAATCAACCAATAGATTTACCATGTAATCAACCAATACAATTACCATAAAATTAACCAATACAATTACCATAAAATTAACCAATACAATTATCATATTAGAATTTACCAATTTATCAATGTTGACATAACGCGACATTACTGTCATTTCAAGAATGCCAACTCAAGAATACTAATTAATTGATTTTTCACTCGACTACCAAAAAACCCTAAACCAGAAAGATTTGATTCAAGTTAAAAAATAAAAATGTTTGTGGTTGTTTTTCAGTTGTTAAGGCAGATTATTGGCGACAAGTTCGCTGGCCATGGGCTTACAATTGGCGGAGTAATGTCCTAAGAAGACCAAGCATCACACGTAGCTACGGTAGTGAACATTTAAAAACGGTGATGATATCTTTCACAACATTGAAAAGTTTGTTTCACTTTGATTTATTCAGGTTTAGCAAAAAATATACAACATGGAAAGGCTGATTATGAAAACCAGGCAGAAAAAAACCAGAAGAAAACAGAAACGAATCATTGGACAAACAAAAAAGATATCATTATTAGAAACACAATGCTATGGCCAGATAGAAATGTGTACTTCGCTTTTAGCCCAAGCGTTGGTGAGTGAGGAATTAAAGATGTTATATAAAGAATTCATTTTCACGGCACCAAACACCACAAAACAGTACAATTCAAACACACCTCATTGCTATCAAATGATGCGCATCAACCATATGCACCGATCTCTTGGTTTATAGCATGTGCTCATCTTCTTTTACATTGCACTAGATAATACGCACACAATAAATAATTTTTACAGACAGTGAAAGTCGGCAGGAAGTAAAATCTGTTTTCCGAGAATGGGAGGGCAACTCGTGTATAAAATTCTTTCCAAGAAGAATGGAACCACGATACATTGAGTTTGCATACAATGGAAGGTTTGTGTTGGTTGTTCGTTACGTTTAACGCGTCTTTGATTGTAAGCAACGTGAGATAACATGCTGATATTGTATAAAGAACGTGTAATAAGTTGAAAATAAACTTTCTTTCAAAGATATTTATAGCAAAAAAGCATTTAACACGAAATATTTGCTTTGAAAAACTATTTTAACATCAAGTTGCCACAATTCATGGTTGTGTATAGCATCGTCAACTGATCTGATCCTTTTTAAGATGTCACGTAGGAAAGCAAAAACCAAATGCCAAGCAAGTCATTTCCATTGGAAGCCAAGGTCGCATTTGCTCTCGAGGAGCACTGCTCAAAGGCATAGGACAAGCTGTTGGCGTTCATAATCTACCAGACGCCTACAAGCGATACTTTAGACCGCAGGAAACTAGTCTATTGGCAGAAGAAGTGATTCGTCAAGCGACATATTTATATAAATGCGATGGTAAGATTCGATTTAACAAACCATTATCCATAATAACACACAAACTTTAATACAGTACATATCTGCATGCACCACTATTTAACATAAGCTTGATCTTCACAGTCACAGTTTACTAAAGGTACAAAAAGACACCTGTAACATTTTCTAAGGTAAAAGTGCACTTTACAGGTTACATACAGTTTACAAATGTAAAGTTTACATGTACAGTTACATATGTACAGTTTACATAAAGTTTACACTTGTAAAGTTTACACACAGTTAACACATATGAAAACTTTACATAAATTTATAGACACTTTAAATACCCTGACTAAACAGAAAAATTGGGAAACTCGGCAGTAATTAACTAAATGAATTTGTTTTTATAGATATATCCTCTAATGACCAAGATGAAGGAGGTAAAGATACATTTTAAAAGAAAAGACGAATACACTCACGAATATCAATATGGCTTATATTATATGGTGATTGACTGTCCAAAGTATGGACAGCACCAGTAAAATGAGCTCTTTAGATTTTTGTTCAAATGGTTGACAATAGATCCATAAACCTTCAAATTAACTGTTATGGTATAACAATTGATAAATGTTTTCACAAACATTTTGAAGAAGCAACCAGCGCAATCAACGTTGCTGTTTCTAAATATCCATGCAGAAGATCCTCTTTTTTACTGCCTCTATAGATACACTTGCTGACCCTTTCTATCAAACATGTTTTAACTATCTCGACGTTGCTGTTTCTAACTAAAAATATCCATGCAGAAGGTCCTCTTTCTTACTGTCTCTCTAGATACACCTGCTGACCTTTTTCTATCAAACATGTTTTAACCATCTCAGAGTTGCTGTTTCTAACTTAAAATATCCATTCAGAAGGTCCTCTTTTTTATTGTCTCTACAGATACCCCTCCTGATCCTTTCTATCAAACATGTTTTAACTATCTCAACGAGCAACGCGCACAGGGAAATGTTGAGCCCATAAAGTGGAGAAACGACTTGGCACAAGAAGCTCAGCAATGGGCCCAATATCTTGCTGATACTAATTACTTGATTAAAGATCCTGCCGCAGAGAACATGAACGAGGGAGAGTTGATAAGCTGGTCGAAACCTGCACTCGATAAATGCGAAATGGAAGAGAATGAAAAGTGTTATTCTTGTCGTCAAGCTATCGATACTTGGTACAAGAATCAATGGACATTAAACAGCAAAAGAACAAATGGCATTGAGGACTCGTTCTCCAAGGTAATAAGCAATGACTTTAATGAGATTTGTTGTGAATGTCAGCGTATAATATACTTCCCTGTATTACCTTCAGTTAAAGTTGTAAGTTTTTTGATATTGTTTTGATAGAATATTTCAACTGAAAAAAATTTGTGGATGAACGCATTCTACAGAAACCCAAACACTTCAATAATTCTCATACATGCCGTGATAGTTTGAATTGATTGTGTTGATTGATTTAGATAATTGCATGGTGGACTAAAGATGTTGGATTCGGAAGTGCAGTAAGCAATAAATACGGAAGGATAGTTGTTGCACGATATCGACCGAAAATAAATCCGGAAGAAGATTTACAGTCAATCGGTGTTGAAAATACAGACGAAAATGTTTATGTAAATCCGACGCAGTTTGAAATGCAATCATACACAACAAGGCCATCTGACAGTATGACAGATTTCACAAAACATGCTAACGAATATGATTCGAAGCAATCAGAAGCTGACACAACAGAAGAGCCTGGTATGATGATTATTTCAGTCTAAACTCTACGTAAACAAACGTATGAAAAAGAAGAAAGTCAAAATGTGCATGAGCTTCAAATGAATTAAACTTATCTACATGTTTTGCAGTGTTTGAAGTTCCAAAATTTTTATCATTATGATTTTTTCAGTCCCTTAGAAACACAATCCAATAACATAATTGCATACGTGGCCGTTGAAGGGGAAAAATCTGTCATAATCTTTTGTTTTCTCACCCAAGGTTTCTTTGAAAACGATTGTTTACGAGAGCACAATATGAGGCGAATCAAACACGGATCCCCTCCTTTGGTGTGGAGTTCAGTATTACAAAAGCATGCACAAGAATGGGCAAACAAACTGGCAGCGATGGGTACAGTGAAATCGGATCCTGAGGCAGAAACACTAAACGAAGAGGGGGAAAATCTTGGATGGATTTTACCCACTAAAGCAAAATGTGCATATGAAGGTCAAACGGATTGCTACAACTGTGCAAGTATTGTAAAACATTGGTACGATGAAATGAAGAACTACGATTTCGAAAACGGAATGTCTTCAAACCAAAAACCTGTACGACATTTTGTGCAGGTAATGAGATCACGTGCTTTAAAGAGCATGCCAACAGGAATATTTAAGAGGAAAATATGACTCTTCAACGTTTACATGATACTCCAATAGCAAACCATTGCCATTTGCTTGGCTCAATGTTTCCATAGCATCTCAAGTAATAAAATCTTTTATGATATCGGATTTTGAATAAATCGATTTTGTTTTGAAAAGATATAGTTGATTTTTTTGAATGTAACAAGAGCCTTTGATCTTCTCTCTGCGTCGTTTCATCATTGCATGTCGAAATGTTGAACAAAATATTTAAATGCTATGAACTCTTCAATCAATTATTCCAGATGATATGGAGGAAAACGAAAGAATTGGGTGTGGCTACAGCTGAAAGTCCAACGCGAGGCTTGATTTTCGTGGCACGCTACAATCCGCGTGGAAACGTAGAATCGTCAAATAGCTATGAAGATGAAGAGGAGTACGAGGACAACGTGAGACCAGAGGGTATAAATAATCCTATATTGTATTACAAGTCATATCACCTAAATAAACGATTGAGTAACTGGACAATTTGAGATAGTTTCTAAAGATGGTTCTCCAATCATATTATTTTTAAAAAGGGAGTCTTTCACGAAGTTTTTAGTTGATCAAACATATCATAACAAATGTAAAGCATGGTTTTTTCATTTGTTAGGCACATCTTTAACTAGTTTTGGTGTCATTGGTGGTGAAGCAGTAAAGCCAAACATTATAAGCCTACCACCTGTTAAACGTCCAGGGACGTATTTGTCTGGTGCTCTTGCATCAGCTTTCCCAGCAACAACTTCAGCTCCCCCAGTTACACTTACAGTTCCTTCATCACCTCTAACTCCTACAACAACCAATACATCACCTCCAACTTCTACAACAACCGATGCATCACCTCCAACTTCTACAACAACCGAAGCATCACCTCCAACTTCTACAACAACCGATGCATCACCTCTAACTTCTACAACAACCAATTCATCACCTCCAACTCCTACAACAAACAATGCATCACCTGCAACTCCTACAACAACCAATACATCACCTCCAACTTCTACAACAACCAATGCATCACCTCCAACTTCTACAACAACCGATGCATCACCTGCAACTCCTACAACAACCAATGCATCACCTCCAACTTCTACAACAACCAATGCATCACCTCCAACTTCTACAACAACCGATGCATCACCTGCAACTTCTACAACAAACGATGCATCACCTGCAACTTCTACAACAACCAGTGCATCATCTCTAACTCCTGCAACAACCAATGCATCACCTACAACAAACGATGCTTCACCTCCAACTCCTACAACAAACGATGCATCATCTCCAATTCCTACGATAACCGATGCATCACCTGCAACTCCGACTATAACTGATGCATCACCTACAACTCCAAATATCGATTTGCCTACAACAGCCCCACTTTACCAAACATTACCTAGTCTCGTTTCAAACGCATACTTTCCACCAAATGGAGCAGCATATACTCCTCTACTCGGTGATGCTTTGATAGGAGTTCAACCACAAATCATAGGTAATCTTTATGTCCACCTCACGCTTTAATATTTAAACATTTACAGCTTTCGTCAGCGTTTATGAGAAAAATATCCCAAAAGGGTTAATAGCCTTAAAGAGTTTGCCTTTGATAGAATCGTTGATGAAATACAAACGCCGACCAGGACCATAAATAGAATGTTGATTCATATACTCAGTTGTGCCTGACTGAGTTCTTTTGGAAGTGAATTTGTTGTAAATAAAATAAGCATTTAACAAACATCCAAAATCGTCATCTACTTTAGGTGGGAAGCCTGATGCATTTGTCCAGGGCTGTATTGATGCTCACAACAACTACAGACAAAGGCACGGAGCACCTCCATTAACGTGGAATGTGGATCTACAGATTAGAGCTCAGGCATGGGCGGATCAGATGGCTACAACAGGCATCCTCTCCCACGATATGAAAGGAATAAATAAATTTAACGACGGAGAAAATATCGGCTTTAATAAAAGTGAAATATATAAACCATTATGCCAAGGAGTTCGCTCTCCAAATTGCTACCATTGTAGCGAAACGGTAGATTTGTGGTATTCAGAAAACCAAAACTACGATTATCAGCGAGCGACAAGCACCAATGGCAGAACATATCTTCACTTCACCCAGGTAAGAAAAAAACATAACAATAAAAACAAAATGATGACATATACAATGTAAAGCTAACGGAAATAAGACTATAGCTCTGTTTCTCGTGTAAAGTCACCATTGCGGAAAGTTATGGAATCACTTAAGATAAAGAATTTAAATTTGTCTTTACTGTTGTGACATTTGCAGCTTGAATGGATGGAGACAAGTAAAATGGGTGTCGGCGTAGGAGTACGTAAGGTCTACGGTTTGAATTTAAAGACATCCTTTGATATTTACACGGTTGTAAAATATTCACCAAGAGGAAATTATGGATATACCGATGACTATTTGAAGAATGTAAAGCCAGGTATGGGTTGAATTACTTGATTTCTTTCCCGAAGAATAACTCACAAAACACCATCCACATTCATTGACATGATCTCTGGCTTGCTGGGTATGTTAGTTTCTTTGCGTGCATGATGTTTTGTTTGCACTCACTATCAGGAACGCTTGCTTAAGGAAGGAGTAGTTGGATGGAATGGATTTTAACGGTTCTAGAATCGAATGCTCGATAAAAGTAGCCATTAGACAGCCCGTCATTTTGTAGTGCTGTAAACCTTATCATCAGCTTTAAGATTGAGGATTAGTTGGATGGAGTTGATTTTATAGATTCTAGAATCTACTTCTCCATAAAAGTAGCCATTCGACAGCCCGTAATTTTGTAGTTTTGTAAACCTTGTCATCAGCTTTAAGATTGAGGATTAAGTGGATGAAGTGGATTTTAAAGACTCTACAATCTACTTCTAGATGAAAGTAGCCATTCGATAGCAAGTCATTTTGTAGTTTGGCAAAAACCTTATCACCAGCTTTAAGATTGAAAATTTTGCTTTTATAGTGTTCAATCAAAATTCAGGTATTTCCACCTCAATAAGACGCGATCTAACTTTTGTAATATCTGTGTCTGAAGTTTACTGCAATTATTTACTTGCAAGATGACTTTTAAGTCGACTACACATACTTAAATTGTTTTGTACTATTTTTTCGTCAATAAAACCAGAAAGAGGAGCGCAAGCATTCATGACGTTTATTCAAAAAACTCGCACGCCATATAACTTCAACCGAGATTGCCTTGCAACCCATAATACATTGCGAGCTCAGCATGGTGCACCTTTGCTTACATGGAGTATCGAGTTAGAGCGCCATGCCCAAGAATGGGCAGACAATCTGGCAAAACGAGACGTTCTTGAGCACGACAGAGTTGGTATGAAAAAGTACACGGAAGGTGAAAACATAGCTTGGCTCACGAGTGAAAGAAAAGTCTGTGAGACGGAACTTTCTGGCGACTGCATACCATGCAAAAGGATCGTACTTTCCTGGTACAACGAGGAAGGCAATTACGACTATTCAAAAGGGAGAGCAAAAGCACAAGGACTGCCTGTTCTTCATTTCACTCAGGTATGTTGAAATGCAGCAACTACAAAAGCATTTGAAGATATAGTCGCAGCCTGACAAATCAAAAATAGAGTATGCAATGGAAAATTACACAAGCTTATCTCATTTAGATCGTATGGAAAGCAACAACAAATTTGGGATTAGCTTCAGCTGTCACCCCGACAAAAAAGGTTTTGTTCGTCGCTCGCTATACGACACCAGGAAACAGAGGAAACACGCAGGCATTTTTGGACAATGTCGAGCCAAAAAGTACTTCTGCAAATGCTTCAACCATAACATTCACAGGTGATTTTTTCAAAGCCAACAATGACATTGAAGGCAACGCTAAAGATGTTGCCCAACAAGAAACCATCAATTTACCGACCATTACAGCTTCCATCATTCGTCCTTATGATATTTCTCATTCAACACCAACAACGACTTCCGTCAGCAATTCTTCAACAGTTAATGATGTCAGAGATAACGATAAATTTTTTGGTGAAAGGGATTTTCGGATGCGCGAAGATTTTGCAACTTTTCAAAACAATTTTGCGAATCTAGATTACTTTGCAAATGATTGCCTTTCGACACACAACGAGCTGCGTGCAAAACATGGGGCTCCACCATTGAAATGGTCACGTGAACTGGCCAAGGATGCAAGGAACTGGGCCGAATATCTGGCGTCCACAAATAAAATGGAGCATGACGCCAAGATATATGGCAAAAAACATGAAGGTGAAAGCATTGCCTGGCTTATTCCGGCCAAGCCGAAATGTTCACAAGCAGATGAAAAAAACTGTTTCATGTGCAGTGAAATAATCAAGAAATGGTACAAGGAGGTGGACAATTATGATTTTACATTGGGAGCATCAAAACATGGATCAACTGAGCATTTTGTCCAGGTAATGCAGCAATATAACATTTGTAAAGTAATGTAAAATTCATTATATTTTGATAGATTCTTAGCAATGTGCTTTTAAGCGAATTTTATCTATGTCAACCCTGCTTAAAGCTTCTGTAAAAGTTATTTTTTCATTTTCCAACTCGAATTCCCACAGATAGTATGGAAAAAAACACGCGAAATAGGAGTAGGAACGGCACTTGGCAACGACTACGGACTCATCATTGTCGTAAGATACGCACCTAAGGGAGGAGAAAGCGAGGAAACGCGAGAGTTTATTGATAACGTAAAGCCACAAGGTAGGTAATTTATGCAAACAATGAGAATAATTAATACAAGGATGAAACTCTGTTTAACGACCACAGCTCAAGCTGTCATTGGATACATTTTTCATTTGACTCTTCCCTCTTTATTACCATTGGAATAATGAACGAAAATTAACCATTGAATGAGACATGAACCGATATATTTAATAAGATAAAAACAATAATATGAAGTACAGTTCTTATATCATTTAAAATTATTTCGACAATATGAAACGCTTGTTTCTACAGTCGTGGATTGCGAAGAGGACACGAGGAAGAAAGTCAAATGTAATCATTGGAAAAAAAAAGGATTCTGTGATAATTTCAAAGAAAGTATGAAATTGATATGCCCAGTGACTTGCGCATTGTGTAAGTTCTACGTATTTATCGTAATCAACTACTTTATAGTTTGCTTGTTAGTGACGTAAATCCAAGTGACTAAATTTTCAATATCTTATCGTTGATGGATTTTAGGTCCTTCAGAACATGACAGACAAATGAAATACAACGATTTTTCTGAGAAAGGTAAGCGTTTGCACTTTATACCTTTTTTCTTGATACTTGATGAATCTTTCTATGAAATTGCAACTTCAAGCAAACCTTTCCTTGCTATTTCGAGCAAACCTTTCCTTGCAACTTCAAGCAAACCTGTCCTTGCTATTTCGAGCAAACCTTTCCTTGCAACTTCAAGCAAAACTTTCCTTGCTATTTCGAGCAAACCTTTCCTTGCAACTTCAAGCAAACTTGATTCGAATCACAGCAAGATAAAACACACTCCAAAAAACATAACATTCGAGTTGGCAAGAGACGAGTTTTAAAAGTAATCTTGTCTCTTCTTACTGGAATCTTGAGTTTACAAGATGATGTTTTTTAGACTATGTTCTATCTAATATTGCAAACATATAAGCACTTAATTTTTTTATCAAGATGGTATGGATGAATTTGAGAAGGACTGTCTTGAGGCACATAACGCTTATCGTACAAAACACGGAGTCCCGCCTTTACAATGGTCAAGAAAATTAAAAAACGCTGCTCAGAAATGGGCAAATTATCTTGCTACAAAGGGAGACACATTGCAACATGATGAAGAAAAGCCAATAGATCAAGGGGAAAACTTAGTTCACTTTACTCCACCTTCAGAGAAATGCTACGGAAAAAAAGAGCCCGGATGCGTACAATGCCGTGAGATCGTAAAAGACTGGTACGACGAGGAGCCCGATTTCGACTTCAGACAAGGACACAGGAAACCCGGTACACATGTATTGCATTTCACCCAGGTGAGCATTGGAAACCATAGATATTAACAAACAAATACCTCGGAGATCTTTCAGAGACATCCAAAATGTCTCCTCGGTTTTTATAAGTCAGTGCAAACACAGAAAACATGTTTGATTTCTCAAATGTTAATGTCATTCTCACAAGTACTTCTTACGGACGGCAATCTTTGTTCCCAAGAGCCTGGCTTATCGGTGGCCGTGCACATTTGTTAACGTTTGCGAATGTATCGTAAATACAAAAGACGTCTGTGTCTGTATGATTCTATCTATATAACATTTACAAAAATGCCGCGGCATTTTTACGACCAAATTGGTGACTTAGCTAAAAAAACACTTCAGGCTTTATTTCCATGGAACCGTTTCGTTTTTTCTTAAGTTTGACGGGTCTGCCGGTGATTAGTAACGGTATCGAGAAAAAGCGCAAATACTTAAGAAAACAAAACAGTTTCACGTTCTCAAGCACACAAATCGATAACTTCTAGACACTATATCATAAAATGTTACATGAATACTAAATCATACCATTCATCTTTCCCGGAAATGCGTGTGAAATTCTCTTTCTCGTACCCAGGTCGTCTGGAAAAACACACGATACGTGGGTGTGGCAACTGCAAAAAACAAAGATTGGTCAATAGCAGTAGCAAGATATTCACCAAGGGGGAATGTGATTGGACAGTTCTGGGATAATGTAAACCCTGTAAGTGGCATGGACATCAAAAACATGAACATGAATTCAATTAAAGGTTGGTGCAAACATCGTTTTCTGATAAAAATAGGACTGGATTCCATATTTTAATCTGTTGACTAGTCTGTCTATGAAGGGTTGGGTTATTGTATTGTTTATCCACTTCATCTAGATAGCATGTGTTCCGGCGAAACTTAATATACCAAAAGCCGCAATGATGTTGATTGCTTTATGGTCTGCGACATGACAACTTTTTCTCTTTAAATATGACAGGAATTGAAAAGCATTCACCTTCTAACACACGAAATAAGCAATCTCTTATATTCACCGAAGGTTAAAAGGAACTGGGGGGAACAAAGGACACAGACTGTGTCACACAGTATCAAGCTATAAAAGATTACGACTCACTCAGTCACAATAGTTGAACTTCAAAAGATGTGAATAGTTTTAAGTGTTCATAAATTTTTAACTTGGGTTGTATTAACTTTTTAATTTTAGGTACTCTTAGGTTTAGAATTTTTATAGGAGGTCCTTTTTGAAAATCATACGTTCCATGAAAAAAAGTTTTCTTCAACAAAGATTACTATTTATTATTATTAATATTACTAACCCAGATCAGATATTCTACTTTTTTTTGAGCATGTTGTGTAAAGGATAACTGCAATGAAACGTTGGAGGGGGGAGGGGAGGGGAGGGAGGGGAAGGTATCCACGACCTTGTTCCTGTTGTTCAAGGTAATTTGAATACGAAAGTTTTTACCCTAAAATTTGACACTCATTTTGTGATGTAGATGCTTCTGAGGAAAGTGAGTCCAAGGTTCCATATCAAAGAGTTTATCCTGAAAACATGGGTAAGAAGCAAATGTATTCCATCGAAAACTGCATAAGCCTTTAGATTAATTTTCACGCTACAAACGCGTGTTTTTACTGATGACAACGTGAAAGACGACGTTTCTGACAGCGTAGTCAACATATTGATGTAATTCTTGATTATTTTGATCTAGAAGTAAAGTATTATGCCAAAAATTCTCCATACAGTGACGGCAAGGTGACCATAGTTGTAGATAAGTCACCAGGTACGTGTTGATTTGTGAAGCGCTTTTAACTATATCCCACAATGCCATGCGTCTCTACAAAAAGATTATTACTCTCATAAAATCTTGGCTAATTTGAAAAACGTTTTTTTCGGTTACTTTTCGGTTCCAGACTTCCAAACGTCGTTCTCAAACGTAATTTCCCAAAATTTCTTTTTTTGAACACATCGGTCAACATCCGAGTTAAAACCAGACACCAAATCCTCGCCATATTTTTTGTTGTCTTTTCAAATAAGAAACAAACAGGACAAAAACCCATAACTTCTTTCCTTGAGATACGCTTTAAAATTTAGTTGTTTTTATTTTTAGCCTACGATGATGGACGAGTTCGGGGAACAGGTCCTTATACGGTATTGTCATACGGTCTAGACGATGACAGTTTTACAAGTAGGTTACAGAACTCAAACCATCAGTTTGAGAGACTATGAAACCGTAGAAGTTTAAGCTTCGTCATTGAATATTTTTAGACGATGTCTTAAAGCGTGATGGGAAATTTGAAAAAAAGTTGACTCCAATTCGACGTATAAGTAAGGTTTGTGATGAACATGTTCTTCCCCAATCATATCCTACTAGCTAATATGGACTGTCTTTAGAAAATAAGGAATGACTGAGGACGGGGGGGGACAGAATGGTAAAGAATGCTTTTACTTCTTTCTCGAGACATTCAGTCATTCGTGTAAATAAATGTTTTGGTGTTTTGTATATATATAGAGGAAAGTTCATGATGAAAAAGGACGATGAAAACTCCATTTTGAAAAAAGAAGAAAAATGGTCGAAAAAAATGTGAGGAGAGTTTGATGATGATTACGAAAAGCATTTTGTCAAAACTGACTTCGATGGAAAACATCGCGTCCACCAAAGGTCCACCATTGTTATTTTTCTTACAAAGAAGTCTTTCATAAAAAATCTTTCAATTCGTGCAATGATCATGATCTATCGTAAAAGAACTGCATGGTCATAAAACAGAGCGACCATCGTGGCATTTTGTACATTTGTCTATAGCATCAATATAAAGTATACCACAACAGCAAATACCAAATTACTTTACGCAACTAAACCTCAGTGATATATATCATACATACTTATAGAGTATTTTCTCAGAAGTTTATGAAGCGTATTTTATTCCTACAGTGAGCGCAACAGTTTCTTTCGTAGAACTTCTAGCAAAATTAGATGTTTAGATAATTTTAAAACTTTGTTCAATACTATAAATAAATAAGATGAATAATCAATCAACAATATTTTGTGCTCATTGTTGTATAAGTATATTGCTGCTGAATGATGAGGGCCAAACATGCCTTTATTTCCGTTTAAAATTTCCCACAAAACCACACGACTTGAAGACCATCCCAAGAAGAGCATCGTTTTATTTTATGCAACTATTCAACAAACATTAACATCGTACCCTCAATGCAAGGGAATGCTGAACTACCAAAAAAATTCGTTTGCAAAACGACCCATAAACAACGCGATGATTCAAAATTTGATGACAGGATGCAGAAAGAGAAATGATGAAGCTTTCTAAAGATCAGCATATGTAGCTATTGGCTGTCAGAATAAAACTTACGGCCAAAACTTAGCTGTTGTATAACCATATAAAACCAGAAATCATAAACACTCGGAAACAGCAATGTATGTGTTAAGTTCTATTGTTTGTATAACACATTCTTAAGCCGTGACTTTTGAAGACGAAAATAAACACCATCCTTCTCAGATTACTAGAAAACAAGTGGTCTCTTGTTTCATTGTAAGGGATTAAAGACTATCGATGAAAATCTGCTCGTTGAACAAGACACTGTTAGTCTTCACTTCTTAAGAATTACTCAAATTGTTTGGCTGTCAATTGGTTGGGACATGTCAAAATTCTCGTTAACAGAAATCGTGCTTATGGCGTTCTTTACTGTATGGTGTTTAAAGCCTTCGCTAGAGGCACGCATGTGTAAAAACGCTTACAACGACCCAAACTGTCAAAGACAACATAAAATATGCTGTAATGGCGTTTGTAATGCCACTTGCATCGGGAAACGCTGCCGTTGGGACATTCAGTGTAGTTCCCGTAAAGATGGCCACAAATGTTGTAACGGCATTTGCAGAGCAAGCTGTGAAGGTTAGAACATTTTTTGATGTAATTTATGCCTACAGATTATGAATAATGTCTCACAAATCGGGCACTTGACAAAAATAGCATGTGTCGCTAATTCCCAATTCACAATTTCGTGTTATTTGTAAGAGCTGCAAAAGTTAGATATTGATGTATTCATCTCAATCTTGAAATATAACTCCCCATGGGCATAAATAACCTTTCTTAGCTACAACTTTGCATCCTTCAAGGACATCCTTGCCAATCAAACCAGAACTGCAAGGGCAAGTCGTTGAAATGTTGCAGTAAGGTATGCCGAAAAGATTCTTGTCTTGGTTACAGTTGTAACAAGTATCGACCGTCATATCGAACGTGTCGCAGACACTTTGGTCAGCGGATGTCCTGCTGTAGTGGACGATGCGAGCTCTCTTGTCTCGACAAACCATGTGTACAGAATGAGGACTGTGGGGGATGGGGAAGGAGGAAAATGAGCTGCTGCGATGGCGTTTGTAAGAAAAGTTGCCTCGGATCCCGATGCGACAGACAATATGATTGCAACTCTAATCGACTCGATTGCTGTGGCGTGTTTGGAAGCAAAACTTGCCAGAAATCTTGCCTTGGTCAGCAATGTTCTTTGGATGAAGTAAACGAATGTGGAAGACGAAGGTCGGGAAGGCTCTTCTGCTGTGGAGATGGTACATGTCGAAGAACATGTCTAGGATCCATTTGTTTCTCTGAAACATATAGGTTTGTGTTCCTCTTTGTCTTTGAAAATTTCAGTCTACTTTTCCGCCTTTGTATTTTAGTATGCGGAAGAAGTTTTTCACAATGATCTAGAACCCAATCCCCAATCAAACTTATGTGTCAAGGCGAGGCAAGGACGCCATCTTGAAAGGTGGCAAAAAGCAAAACTCAAAATGAAAAATAGTTAAGAGAAAGTTTAAAAAACCAATCCTATCAAACATTTTAAAAATCAAACCTAGACTATCAACTCTGCCACTCTATACGTATCAACTCAGGAAAAGCAGATATTAGTCGTAAATATCGTCCGTTTTGCCACGTTTTAGGATGGCGACTTGCCTCCCTTGTAACTGTAGAATTTCGGCGGAGTCATATATCTAGAAGATTGGGTTCTAGGTCACTGGTTTTTCACTTTATTGCTCGAGTGGTGTTCATGCCGTGTGAGTTAAATATTTAATTTCCATGAAAAATTATTGTCTGCAAAACTGGCGAAAAATTTTACTGTTAACTGATTTCCAATCATCATTCATTCATTCCAGTTTTCTTGAATAATCGATCTTGGACCACTGGCCAGAACTATTTTCCGTGATCGATTTTCATGAGATATCCTTGATTTTCCTATAATTAATTGTCATTTCATTCAATAATTTTTTAGAGATGACTGTAAATCTACCGGCAAACTTCTCTATTGCTGTGGCATGGGTCAGAAAAGATGTCGTCTCAGTTGCAGTAGTCTGCCGTGCAAGAAAAACGAAGATTGCGGAACGTTGATGTACTACTGCGGCAGCAGGGATCAGCGAAATATTTCCGCTTGTCGTATAACTCAAGTTTCAGACTTGAAAATATTTCATGACGTCAACTTGCAAAATTTATATCTTGACGACTGAAAATTTCACCACTGATTATTTTGTCATGCTTATAGTGCGTTAAGAAGTATTGTATTTGATTTTTATCGTAATGGCTTTAAATTTCATGTGGAAAAGCCGATGGTATGACATTAGTTTCATCTAACTCAGATTACTTGAGTAAGATTAGCTGTAAGTTATCCTGCAAGTACTGTTTTCATTTAACTGTTTACTGGCCAGTTATCTTAATCGTGAAGTAGGTAACGCCCCTTGGAAATGCTCTGTGACCTAAGTTCATTAACAAGTAACCAATTAGCTATATAGAATACCCTTGTACTGAGGAAAAATCTATAATAAAGACTGTAATAAATCGTAGTCGAGTTGCATTCACTGTTCACGGAAGTTTCCCTTTCAAACTGTATGCATTAAAAACCCCAATTATTATCTTTATGTCTCGTAAACCCTTTTTCCTTTCACCCAAACATAATAAAACTGATCTTTGATGTAAAGAAGTGTTCAACGATACTCTGACATCCTCTATCATCCACCCAAACAGAATACATATGACGAAAAGAAGTGGCCATCAATACTCTGACATCCTCTAACATCCTCCCAAACAGAATACATATGACGAAAAGAAATGATCATCAATACTCTCACATCCTCTAACATCCTCCCAAACAGAATACATATGACGAAAAGAAATGATCATCAATACTCTCACATCCTCTAATATCCTCCCAAAAAGAATACATATGACGAAAAGAAATGATCATCAATACTCTCACATCCTCTAACATCCTCCCAAACAGAATACATATGACGAAAAGAAATGATCATCAATACTCTGACATCCTCTAACATCCTCCCAAACAGAATACGTATGACGAAAAGAAGTCATCATCAATACTCTGACATCCTCTATCATCCTCCCAAACAGAATACCAATGACGAAAGAAGTGATCATCAATACTCTGACATCCTCTATCATCCTCCCAAACAGAATACCAATGACGAAAGAAGTGATCATCAATACTCTGACATCCTCTAACATCCTCCCAAACAAAATACATATGATGTAGAGAAGTGATCACCAATACTCAGATATCCTCTAACATCCTACCAAACAAAGCAAAAAAGTTTCTAACGCCCCTAGATATCACAAACTCCCCTTCCAAAAAAATGCACACACAATAGTTAATGGTTAGTTCCATCGCAAACAGTTCATTTTTTAAGAGGAAGCCAACATGAACACATTGTTTTAAATTTCAAGAGTGTCGACTAACATGAAACGAGTGTGGGGTTAAGAAGTAGAGCGATCATATATTCGCACCAAACACACAGCGCCAACAATAGTGTCATTCATGTAATAAAAATCATGAATGCGACAACATGCACGAAATAATCTCAGAAAAAAATGAAACGACAATGCAAACGGATTGTGCTAAACACGTTTATGATTGAACAAAGGCAACAAATTATCTTTTTCGTCTTCACCCTCATCATAAATAGCAGGTCGCAATATCGCTCCATTCAACTATTACACGCGCACGTGGTCATCACCATGGAGACGCACTGGTATGCTATTGAAGCGGGAGAAATAAGACGCTATGTCTGTCACAAGTTTGCCAGCGCGCAACGCAGCAACAGGTAGTGCAATTTTTCACGAGGACATTACATTTATAATCTATTGTTCTCATAAACGTTTGTTTGAGTCGTAAACACATAAGAAAACACAGATAAGTTGACAAAACTGCGTCCAAAACAATCATTTGGAAAGAATAGAATCCCGGTGGTTGGCAAAAAAAAATAGCAACTTGAAAGGTTAGTGACGATCACGCACACAGCACGTTTCCAGTCGGTTTTATCCTGCGATCAATTCATTTGCTAGCAACGTGCGGTGTAGCGTTAAGGTAGAACTAAAACTCAAACGTGGATTTAAATCGTACAGGAAATATGCTTAAACTCGAAAACAGAACTTGCATAAGGAAAACACAAAAACACGACCTTGCTATTTTTCAGAGCTGCATTATACCAAATTTCACGAAGGATAATGATGAACTTTTCATAGAAAATCATCCACAAAAAGCTTCTCTCCATTTACGAAATGAAATTGTTTATCTGACGTCAAACCGTATGCCCAATCGTTAGGGGTTGACTGACACACCTTCAAACAGCAATTTTTATGTATATATAGATGTCCTCGATGTTGGAGTCGACAAGCCACATAAAGCGACCGATGAACGCCTATATGGTTTGGTCTCGTAAGGAGCGTCGACGAATCGCCGAAGAGTGTCCGCGAATGCTGAATTCCGAGATCAGTAAGAGACTAGGAACGGAATGGAATCTTCTCTCGCCCGAGAAGAAAAAACCGTACGTTGAGGAAGCAAAACGACTTCGTTTGGAACACAAGAAAGAACACCCAGAGTACAAGTATCAACCAAAACGTAAACAGAAGGGAAGGAGTAAGATGAACTCCAGAGTTGTAGATCATCCATTTATCGAAGGTTTAACGCCTTATCAGCCAATGAGCATGCCGGGAAAATTTGACATTCCCTCCCCTCCCATGTTGTTTTCTTTAACCCCTTTTACAAAAAACCATTCGTCTCGCAGACTGTCCCCAATGATCCAAGGATATCCATCAATTTTTCCTCCATGTCATCCGGCTCAAATTGTGGACTGCCACGATGCTCATTTCGAATATGATAGCAAAATGATGGAGCAGAGCAGCAGACAAGGGACAATACAACCGCTGCACACAATGCCTGTTGCACCTGAGAAAAATTACCAGATGAGTCAACACCAGGAAGCTGTACATGAAAAAGGTAATCCTGGAAACCATAGGTTTCCTCAACTCAAACAGAACGCTTGTCCGAGTGATTTTGTTAAGCTTGGAAACGAGCACCCCTTACGTGAAAACTGTCACCGTTTACGTGAGAACGAATGTGTCATGCGTGAAAACGAGAGCAACATTCGAGAGCATAAAGACGACAGAGTTCAAAGAACAGAAATGGCATTGCACGCGCCATCCATAAAACAGGTCGAAATCCGTGAAAATACAGTAAACAGTCATTCAAGTTTTTATTTAACAAACCCGAATCCGCGACACAATGCAGTCAGCGGCAGTTACACAGATATGAAACACGAAAATGGCATGGATTACTGTAAAAGTTTTGAAAAACATGGTTTGTCAACAAGTCAGCCGGAAAACGACGACGGAGAGAAAATCAAATTATTCTACAACAATTCAAGAAACAATGGCTCAATCTACCATGACTTTTCAACGTCTATCAACGAAAAAAAGTGTGAGAAACTAACAAATGATGATTTAGCAACAAAATCCGCAGCGCAAGAGCAAACGTCAAGAGGTTTTGAGAGGATTGGAGCAGAGAGCTCATTTCTACAAAGCTCGAACACAGCTCTAAAGCAAAACAGTGGATGGCCACAGGAAAACACAGTTTGCACACAAGCGCTCAACTATGACGTGAATGCAAAGGTTTATAGAGAAGTAAACGAATATTTCCGCTTGGACTGTGAAAATCATCGTATGGTGGGAGATGATGTTGCAGTTAAAAATCAAAAGGGCCGTGACGTCAGCAAAGATTATCGCGTTTTAGGCCAAAACAACGTCAAGAAAATACAGGATAGAGACTTCAACGAAAACGGGGATTATCTGTATGGAAAGGATTTGCGATTAAACGATCAGGATTACCGTGCAGCAATTGAAGGTTATCGTGTAAATGAGCAACATTGTCGAGCGTTGAACGAGATTCAAGGAATCAATGACCAATCAGGAGTCATACATTCGCACTTTAATGGCCACATTCATCCAATCAATTGCCCAAATGATCGTGATATGAACGTTGATTTTCGCACAAAGAATTACCCAATGAACGCGCAAGATTTTCGATTTTACTCTCAAGAATCACGTGGAAAGAGTCGAGAAGAGAGGACCTCCGATCCAAGACAGGATTTTAACGGCATGGGCACGATGTTAGGAATGTCAAATGGGTTTTTTCATTTCGCTAATCAAGACTCGACACAAGTATACCATTGAATAATGCAGTCATATTATTTTGGTCACTCTTTCACAACAATGCGATTTGAAGTTGAATCTTTAGCGTTCGGAGCTTCTACACCATTTCCACAAGAAAAAAAGGGAAAAAACAGCACTGAATACTTTTCCGAACAGTATTACGTATGTCAAACATTAAAACTGTGCTCAAATTATCATTGTGTCTGATCAACTGCAGAGCAACGGTCATATAGTGCATACATGAAGTATCTCCTTTGAAGTAACAATTCCTCTCATTATAGTTATAATTGAATTAAAGATAGCTGAAAATTTGTAGTATTTTTACTCAACAAAACATTGTATAAATCAATACACAATGATTTAGTTAACTTATAAACATGCCTCTGGTAAAGAATTTAACATTTGCACGTTCAAAGAACAACAAAGTCACCCACATCCTCCCTTGCCTGGGACCATTTTCGGAAGCTATTTAAGTCAACAAGTTCTCACCTCACAAACCTAAGCAATAGAGTGTGCAAGGTATTCATGGATTTGGTAATGCATAAAAAATATGTCAGTGGTCAACAAAAAAACATGCATACCGAAAATTTATTTAAGCCCAAATTAGTATTCTTGCTTTATTTTGTCACATGATGAAGTTAATTCAAACTGAGCAGTTTTGAAAGTTTTATAAAGTTAAATTTAAATGAAACATTAATTTTCACAAGGTTTAACTAGTTTAAAGAACTTTAACATTGTGATTGCCTTGTATAAATTAATAATCAATGATATGTATAAAATTAAAGTGATAAAACACGCCAAAGATTTGCCAAGCAGAAAACAAATTTTCATGATGAATATCACAGCCTAACATAAGATTATCAACAGAGCCACAACATAAAAATTAATAAGTAGAAGATTTTTGATGATGTTTTTGTCTTTGACATTTTCATATTTACACGAGGCTTCAAATATAAGCAGATAATTATACACTTATAGGGCATTAACTTACTTTAACAAATTTTCTCTTCTTTTCCTATCTATTAATTTGTATACTTATTTATTTTAAGTGTAATGTCTTGTATCTCCTTCATCTTATCCTGTCATCCAAACTTTCTATCTTTATTTGTAATTTAATACCCTGTAAATATATAATTTGAAGCCTTACCTAAATACATACCACTGTATATGAAAATGTCTTAAGTTAAAGTAAAAACACCTTCATCAATAAAAATCTACTTATTATTTTTTAATAACCTTATGTTGGGCTGTGTAGCTAATATTCAACACAAATTAAAAAAGCATGCAGCTACAAAAAATTAACCAAACAAAGACTTACCATGATTCTTTAGAGTATTTTCAGTTATACCAATCTTAGAATATTGGACAGTCATATGAATGTTAGAACAAAGGACAGTTGTGCCAATTTTAGAAGATTTGACAGTCATGGTAAAGTTGGAACATGAGAATAGTTATACCAACGTGAAAATACAGGGAAGCTATACCAACGATATAATACTGAGCTCTTACACCAATGTTAGAACATTGAACAGTTACACCAATGTTAGAACACAAGGCAGCTACACCAGCTTTAGAATACAGGACTCAACAGGACAGTTACACTTTCTTGGAAAGTCATACCAACGTCCAACCATAGGATACTGTGCAGTTATACCAATGTTATCATGTTCTATCTTTCATGTCATGTCAAGAGGTCGTTGGCGATCCCATAAGAAATTTAGAATAAAGAAACCAAAAAGAAACATGTTTATTCACAGAAATTGAATATGATGAAAATATCACGGAGTTTTTTGCTTACGCGACTTTAATTTCGCGCATTTTTCATAATTCGCGAGAGAATCGAGAAATTTAAGTCGCGTTAAATAACATGAAAACGAAAACGCGGTCAACAACTGTGCCATTCCAACTCCACTCGTGCTAAGCAATTTTTAAATAAACATATTGATTTTAAAATCGTGCGTAGTGTACTTAATGTCTAATTTTTTGTTTTTTTTTCTGTCTCCGTTTATATGTACTTTTTTCTCTATCTTTATGTCTACCTTTATGTCCACCTTTATGTCTACCTTTATGTCTACCTTTGTGTCTACCTTTATGTCTACCTTTATGTCTACCTTTATGTCTACCTTTATGTCTTCCTTTATGTCTACCTTTATGTCTACCTTTAGGTCATCCGACAAGATCAAAGAAAACCGCCTAAATTACATAGATTTGAAATAAAGTTGGAAACAAGAATAAAAATACGAAAAACGTATTGATAAATGTACTTGATAACACAAATGGCTGTTCACACGACTATAAATATCTAAACGAATATAAATGTTAATAAAATTATCGGTCCATCTGAACAAGCAACCGTAAAGAACTGTACGGCTTGTTAATTAAAGTTCGTCTCGTTGCAATTTCATCTTGAATTTGTCCAGTGCTTTTTCCATGGACTGAATAACTAGAATTAGCAACAAAAAAGTCAGCATTCAAAAAAGGTAGAGCGGACTTTTTTGCAAAACAACATTGAGAGGGAGCAAGAGCTGAATTATTTGAAACCATGCTTTCTTGAAATTTGTGGGAAAAAATTAAAATGACATTTGCGTTTTTAAATAAGAAAAATGCTTTGTTAGATCGTCCAACATAGCGGCCGTGACGTACTTCCACACCAAGAATTTTACAAAGGCAGAATTTAAAAGATGTAAAATCAATAAAAGAACTCACGTGTTACGGCATCCCAATAGTAATATTTATTTTCCTTATACATGCTTTCCGTGTTGTAAATGTCTGTCCTGATTTCACCAGATGGATCTATTTGTTTAAAATTTCGAAAATTTTGTTAAAGTACACACAAATCTTTACCAAAGTGTCAATTTTGTAATGCATATATAGTCACAGAGAAAAACTTTTAGAATTGCGCAGTATTATTTTTTTATAGGAAATAAAGGCAACAAAAGGCGTGCGCTGATTGGTTTATTGTTGTGTTTTCATTGGCTTTTGCAAACGGATCCGAGGTCAGTTTATTACATTAACCAATGAAAATTTTCAAAACAATCATGAATTCATGTTGAAGGAAAAATTTAAATATTTGTTTTAAATTTATCTGTTTCGCATTATTATTACTTTATAAAAGAAATAAAAAATGTTTTTCGTGTTTGCGCAGGCTTATGAAAACCTAGGAGACGTTTGTGAGAACTCTCTAGCACGTGTAACTCCCGGCCTTGGATATTTGGTTTGCACTGATCAGCTGTTGAGTTCTCCCAAAGGTCTCTCCCAAACGTCTTTTCATCTTCTTAATTGAAGTGTTAAAATCGAGAGGATTTGAGATAACCTACCGATGAAAAATATCCGTGGTATGTATGATCCATCGATATCAAACTTCTCGTCGATGTATTCCTCTTCGCCCTTTTCAATAAAATAAATAAAATTCTTACCACAACTTACATCTACCAGCTTCTCTTCCTCATCTATTACAACATAACATTTTCTTTATGACCAATGGAATCATGACAGAAAATATTTAACTGACAAAAAAAGGAACTGAATCACTGATGAAGGATAAAATTACCTCTTCATTGACCATGACGAATTTTTCACTCAATTCTGCAAACTTTTCTGATGAGGACAATTTCTTTTTCAATGCTTTGCAAAAGAAGATAAAACATAATTTTTCCAAAACCAAGAGTTAAAAATCTAAGAAAGATGACTGTAAGTGAATATATAATTTTTATCGAGTCGTCTGACAATTTCTAAGAATCCATATCAGCGAAGTAGCTTGCTGCAAATTTTATTCTGCATGAAAATTTTTCTGTTTCCTCACTTCGTGAGTAAAAAACAATAAATTTCTAAATAAATGAACAATAATGATACTTTAAAATTTGTACAGCACGACCTAAACTTGCGGGCTCGCTTCGCTACTGATCGATGTCAAAGATTTACGAATTGCTGTAGTGACATAAAGAACATAATTCAGTTTGTCCATGTTATCATCACAAACGTATTCACACAATCCTGTGATCCGTAAAGTATTCATTTATGAGGGAATACTAAACTTTAAAGATGAATAACAATGATGTCATTTGCCAATATATGAAACCAATTTTTAAAGCAACTTCACAACGCAAAAACAATAAATAACAGAATCTTAGCTACCTTTGCAAGCTTTACACCACGGCTTGTGAATGATCAGCAACATTAGCATATCCCTAGAGTGCACAGAAACATCTCTGTTAAATATCGTGTGTTGGGTTGCATGAGTGATATAAACATAGAAAACATAAAGTAATTTTTCATTATATTTTACATGAAATATTTCTAGGTGAATACAAATTAACATTTAAAATATTTATTTACCTTTTCTTTGAGAGATCAACCCCATCTTTATAGCTCACCCAGTTCACGTTTTTGCCAAAACCTGATTTATTGGTAAAAGCATTATTTGATTTTAGTTTAAAACAAAAGATACTGAATCTTTACAGTTCCATACGACAACTATATCATATTTGAGAAACTAATATACTTATGTCTATATCGAGAAGAAGTGATCGGAAATTTATTCCAACGCTTTTTTATAACAAAAATCCACCTACCATTGTCAATCGATTTTTCTTTACCAAATCGCAGCAGTGCATCGTTCATAAGACGTATGACTAACAAAACGAAAATTTAATTTGTGAACACACACATTCTCTAAAGGATAGAGTAGGACAACTGTAGGATCTAAGAGATCACTGATCATGTTGATTTCTCAATCACGATAAATTATGTGATATAAGATATACTCACTTGAAAGCTCGTTGCCATAAGAAAATTTATACTCAACATAATCTGGTTCCATATTATGAAGATCTTGTTGAACTTTTCCAGTAGGATCTGAGAATACATGATTTGTACAAAATACAACATTTGCCAACTATAAACTATTGAATTGATTTTATGCATTATAGAAATATATAAAATAATAGTTTGTGTGTGTTTAAATTTCCATTTTCAAGTCAGAAACCACTTCATAACAAATGACTACGGACTTTGTCACTACAAATATTGTGCAACCACATACCTAAAATAAATAATCTTGGAAAATATCTTCCATCGACATCAAACTGATCGTCTTCTGGTTCTTCTTCATCCTTTTGGAATAAAACAATCATGTTGACTGCTTTTGTATACGAGAAAATAAAGGATAGAAAATGGCCTTAACCTGTAGGTTTACCATGACAAAATCCTGGGCATATATAGGAAGCTCTTTTGATTGATTGAATACATTTTTAAGTATCCACACGCAGGACAAGACGATTGGTGAATTATGAGAAATATTGGCTTTGCCTAAGTAAAAATAATGCTGCATTGTAATAAAATATAAGATAAAGTTTTGATAGTTTTGACAGTTTTGAAAGAAAGACATACGAAGTTGAAGCTTCACTAAGAGCATTTTCCATGTTAAGCCATTCATACTCCATTCCAAAACCTAATAAGAACAATTTAGATTTTTATGTTCCCATTGTTACATCTACAAACTACTATCTTATATGACAAAATTTCTACGATTTTTCACGGTATAAATAGTACAGTCATGACATTGTACATCATAGTACAGTGATGACAGTGTATATCACAGGACAGTCAAGACAGTGTACATCGGAGTACAGTCATGTTGGTGTACATCGTAGTACAGTCATGATAGTGATACAGGCATGACAGTGTACATCGTTGTACAGGCATGATAGTGTACATCATAGTAAAGTCATGACAGTGTACATCGTAGTACAGTCATGTTGGTGTATATCGTAGTACAGTCATGATAGTGATAAAGGCATGACAGTGTACATCGTTGTACAGGCATGATAGTGTACATCATAGTACAGTAATGACAGTGGACATCGTAGTACAGTAATGATAGTGTACATCATAGTAAAGTCATGACAGTGTATATCGTAGTACAGTCATGATAGTGTACATCGTAGTACAGTCACGATAGTGATACAGGCATGACAGTGTACATCGTTGTACAGGCATGATAGTGTACATCATAGTACAGTAAGGACAGTGGACATCGTAGTACAGTAATGATAGTGTACATCATAGTAAAGTCATGACAGTGTATATCGTAGTACAGTCATGATAGTGTACATCGTAGTACAGTCACGATAGTGATACAGGCATGACAGTGTACATCGTACAGGCATGATAGTGTACATACATCATAGTAAAGTCATGACAGTATACATCTTAGTGCAAGTCATGATAGTGTACATCATAGTAAAGTCATGACAGTGTACATCGTAGTACAGTCATGATAGTGTACATCATAGTAAAGTCATGACAGTGTACATCGTAGTACAGTAATGATAGTGTACATTGCAGTACAGTCACGATAAAGATACAGGCATGACAGTGTACATCGTAGTAGAGTCGTGATAGTGACACAGGCATGACAGTGTACATCGTAGTACAGTCATGATAGTGACACAGTCATCATAGTTATACCAGTCATCATAGTGATACAGTCATGATGTCACTGTACCTCTTTCCAATGAAGGTGCGGGCAATTTAATAACGACCTTTTTCATAGAAGCAACAACTGGAATTTAACATAGCGTTAGTATGATGAATTATAAAATGTACTTAGGTAATCTATATCTACAAGCATGTAACGATGCTCTCGAGCTCAAACAACTGACTTCATTTTTAAGAAAAACATTTTTAACTTTTGCATATTGAGCGAGGTACCACATAGAAAGGACTACTTTTGCGAACTCTTATTTTACCGTCTATTCCATGTTGATAAAAATATTTCGCTTTCTTATCACGTCTGTTCTCATTGATCACCTCTATATCTACATTGCCTCGAGAATCTATGAAACAATCACAAAAGGCAGGGAGATCATTAATGTCGCCGAGTTGTTAGATTTTCTTGTATTTATAAAAATGAAAAGATAAGAAAAATAGTTTTGCATGATACAAGGGAAATCATAAAAACTTCTTATATGCAAAAAATTGCCTAGTGGGGAAACATTGGGACAAAGTGTGACACATTTCAGGTACTCCACCAAAAATTATAATATGTGTGTATTGTACAAAAATCCTTCTCATCAAAATGAAATTCCCTTACCTATAAAGAAAATTCTTGGCACGTACGTTCCATCTATGTTGTACTTCTCATCATTTGGAATTTCATCGTCCTTTAAGAAAGAAAGTAAACAATAAAGAAAGGCAGAGATGCTACTTAGTAATAAGCAATTAAAATAATAAACATTTAAAATACCTCAAGATTGACCATGACAAAATATTTGCTGATTTCTGCAATGTTCAAAGACATTGCAAATTCTTCTTTTAAATCTAGAAATATATTTTAAACCTTGTCACCATTGAAGTAAGACTATAGCATTTGCTTTTGTGACATTTCCCTGTGACATTTTGTTGTTTTTTAATGAAAAAACTGAAATCAATTTTTCATCTTTAAGATTACTCACGTACCTCTGCTGAACTGACACCAGCTTCGATGGAAAATCATCATGATTGGCTTGTTGCTAATAAGATATGTGTGCACATGTATTACAAATTTGGGTGAAAGGTTTTTTCCATTGATAACACAGTGATATGTTTCATTAAAAGAAAACTAAGTCCTGAAAACATACATAGTTTAAGAACTTACAATTCCTCAGCAATGCCATAGCTGTCGTTCAACGATGTCCATTCAATCTTTCCTCCAAAACCTGTGTATTTTTCAGAACGATATGAATGAACCAACAAATACCATCTAACTGATTAATGAAGACAAAAACAGGAACTTTCACCTTTTGTTCGATCATTTTCAACGGTTTCTTGTCTTTTCAAAACTTTTTTCATAGTTGTAACAACTAAAACAGTTTACATGCATGAATATCAAGTCATAACACAAGCTATATCTATTGCTCATGTTAACAGACAAAAGAATGAGGAGATGGAAACTTATTATACATGTGTACCTTGCTCAGCATTTCCATATGAATAAATGAAGTCATCCTTATATTCAGGGCTTTCGTTGTAAAACTCTTCCATTATTTTTCCATTCCGAGGATCTGTTGTAAAAAGAAAAAAAATTGAGTCGTTTGCAATAATAGAAAGAAACCAAAAGTTTGTGTGCTCGCAAAGTACGTTTGAAGACTAGGTTCTAATTCAAAAATTGGCAATACAGTAATGGACTCACAGACATTATAGTATCAATAAAGAAAATTTCAATGAGTAGAAAATTGTACCTACCAAAGAAGTATAGGCGTGGAACATAAGCACCATCAACATCAAAATCATCTCCCAACTTTTCTTCATCATCCTTTATTTAAGAAATTGCAATAACCTAACATCCACAACTAAAAAATATCCTGTTCATGTCCGTGTGAATGTAATTATAACATACCTCGACATTCACCATAACAAATTTGGAACTAAGTTCAAGAATTTTCTTCGACTTGGAAAAATAGGACTTTAGGACTAAAACAACAGAAATAGCTTCATGAATGCAATCCAACGTCAACATAACTCAAATCATTAATTGAATTCACTCACTTTTGCAAGCTTTACACCAAGACTTGTGAATAATCAATAGCATCGGAATATTTCTTAAAGAAGAAAATATCTTCAGTTGAAAATATTGAAGTTTGACTCAGCAATTTTATGTTCTATATAAAAACCATCTTTTGTCTTCGTTAACCTTTCTTTAGACAAAATCAATCCACTTTCCAAATTTTCCCACTTTATTTTCTCTCCCCATCCTACCAGAAAATGAATATTTCAAAAAATATACCCATATATCATTTCATAGGATAATTTAATGCAAAAAATCTAATTGTTCACACCATTGTGCAATTTGGTGGATTTTTCCTCTTTTTCGATAACAATTTTCATACTTCGAACAACTAAAACAAGAGATAAAAGTCAAACCATGTTTTCCAACCATAAACATCAAGAAAGAATGTTAGATAAGTATAACACTAACTCTCATCTGCTTCTCCATAATAATACTTCACGTGAGGATAAGCTGTTCCTTCATTCCATACTTCGTCCATGACACGACCACTTGGTTCTGAGAACAAAAAATCAATTTTGATTTAAAAAATAAAATTTAAAGGTCCACATAACTTACCGACAAACAATATTCTTGGAATGTAAGCACCGTCAATTATAAATTTACTGTCTTTTGGTTCTTCATCATCCTATAAATTGAATTAAGTGAACTAAACATCAAAGTTTAGAGTTTTAAAGATTGAGATTTACAATATATTTACAATGTAGCAATATTTGTCCATTTTTTACGATACAATACAAGAAAAAATACTATGACAGTACCTCAGTGTTAACCATGACAAAATGTTTGCTTAGATTCAGTATTTCATCAGATGCAGCAAATTTTGGTTTTAACTCTACGAAAGAAACACCACAAGTATAACAACAAGTATTAAATTTTTTATATTTTGTTAGTCTTCTTGTTCAAGGTGATGTTACGTTAACTTACGTTTACAAGAACCACACCAAGTTTTATGAATGATAAGCATCATTGGTTTGCCACTATTTGTAAAACATATAAAGAAATACCATTGTGCTACTTCAGTCTTCAAGATAAATTATTCAACTACGTTTTTAATCGCACCTTTTTCTAGATTCCTCTATGCCGTCTTTAAATGTGAACCAGTTAAATTTTTCACCAAGTCCTGCGATTATATGTTGAAAAATTCAGTAAAGACTGTCAAAGTTAAATTGATAAGAAAAGTTACTTAAGATCTTGATGATTGATAAGATTTATTTTTACCAAAAATGTGTTCTTAAATAAATTCCTAAAACTTAGCAAAGATAGTCAACTTGTTGAATAGAAGTGTTTACGATGTTTTATAAAATTATGAGACACTGATCAATCTTGGGTAAAAAGAAGAGACAATTTGTGGCACCTAATACCTCATCCTAAATTATAATAAAGAACAAGATACACTTACCTCTGTGAAGATTGTTGGAACTAAATTCCATTTTCATGACTTCCTTCATACTGCGTACAACTAATAAAATTCATAACATTCAAATATGTAAAATAAATTGATGTAACCAAACATCTTGGTCAAGCAATATTTTCTAAAAGAACTTCATACTGTTTTTTGGTTCTCCATAATAGTATTTGGTGTCGGGGAAGGATGTTCCTTTGTTCCATATATGATCCATCACTTTACCACTAGGTTCTGAAACACAGTAAGCGTGAACTTACAGGAACAAGATAAGAGAAAATTTATCATCCTTTGTCTAAAGTATATTCCATCTAATTGTTGTTGTCATGATTTTATTCATCACAAGTGTTCAACATACCAACGAAATAAATTCTAGGAATATATGCACCATCAACAGCATATGCTTTATCTTTTGGTTCTTCGTCATCCTAAATGAAAGAAAGAACCAAAACACCAAATCACTGCATGCAAAACAAAGAATTCTCTCTCATAACCATTGATATACCTCTGTGTTGACCATAACAAAGTTTTTACTCAGTTCTTCGATTTCTTTTGATGCAGCAAACTGTGGTTTTAAAACTGTAAAAATGGAAAAATTTACACTCCTTATTGTTGCCTTCCTATTTATAACTTCTTCAGTTGTGTTTAAATATAATAATACTTACTTTTGCACGAACTGCACCAGGATTTGTGAATTAAAACCATGATTGGCTTTCCACTTCAAAATTATGAACACATCAAGTTTGTTAAATATATTACTTTTTTTTATAAATTTGACAATTTGTAGAAGTTTTCATAGTTATTCGAGATTATCAATCCCACAAATGTAAAATACCTTTTTCTAGATTCAACTTCGGCGTTAGCCATTGTCGTCCAATTTATGTTTTTATTATAACCTCGGTCAAGTGAAATGTTTTTTTCTTGTTCAATAACAGCCTTCATACTCTCAATAACTAAAAGTAAAGAAAACATTTTGCTAGATACACATTGGTCTTGTTAGATGTATTGCAAAACAGTGCAAGCGACAAACTATGTTTAAACTGAATTATTAGTTGTAATATTCTCACCATCTTCAGCTTTGCTGTAAAAATACTGGTATTTTTCTCGCTTTTCATTCATTATGTTTCTAAGAAATTTTCCATTTTTACCTACAAAAGACGAAGATTTACAATGACCATACAAGCTACCTTTCTGAAAATTACATTTCGCTTCTGGTACGATTTTCCCATATTTACGAAAGGAATATGCATAGTTAATACCATAAAAGAAAATTCTCGGTACATATTTTCCATCAATATCGTACTCTTCTTTTTGGCTTGCTATTTCATCCTAATTAAATAATATTACATGTATAAATGCAAATCTTTACGATATAATTACATATCTTTAACACAACTTTCAACGTTGTATTCAAACAAAAACTTCTTCAAGAATAAAAAACAATGAAATTATTGTATTATTGTATTAAGGACCCCCTGCAACATCACTCTGATGACATTTCTGTTACATCATTTCACATGATTTTTAATCAACGCATATTTTTCCAGAGATACAATACTTAACAAACTTATTTACAAGACGATAAAATAATATAATACATACATTGGTGTTGATCATCACAAACTCACGACTGAGTTCTTCAATTTCGTCTGATGACAAAAACTGCTCTTTTAAACCTGTAAAAATCATCAGTAAAGACCTCTGTAAAACATGCCTTCGGTAACCAATGGGGTAGCTAGCTTGCAAGTTTGGTTGTACTATGTAAATACTTCAGTGTTACTGTCTTTAAAACTCTAGATTTGCCAAAGAAAAAATTGATGCCAATGGTCTGACATTTTAGAACAGCCAAAATAGCCGACTATAGCTACGCCTTAAATGGTAACATTGATGGTGTATGCAATAAATAGTTTGAGCAAACATTTGGAATTCAGCAGAAGTTGAATTTTGACTTTATATATAAACAACCTACCTACGCAAGCTTTACACCAACTTTTATGTATGATCAACATTTTGGGTTTTTTACTAGATGTGAAGAACCATAATTTTTTTAAAACATATTAACGTTCTATTTTAACTAAATACGAGCTCCTTGCTAATCTAAAAGCTCTTTCAAATTTACCATTAAACAGAAAATCCGCAGGAAAAACTTATCTGGATTACTTAGTAATTAAACTGCGTGACGACTTAAGCAATTCAAAATTTTGTGTAAAGATAGTAAACTGGATATTTTTCCTTTGCGGGCCTTGCAGCATTCAAACTTCAAGTGTAAAAATTGTTAATTTGATAATGAACCTTATACGCATCACAGTTTCATCAAGTGACTTCCAGTCGATACTGCTTCCAAAACCTGAAGTAAATGATTGTAAATTACATATACACGGTCATGGAAAATGTTTCAAAGAAAGTATCTTCAATATTCAAACTTTACACACATACCATTGCTAAGAATTTCTCCTGTCACTTTTGTGATTGTAAGAAGAGTGATAATAAACCCTAGTAAGACCTGAATGTTGCTAATCTTCATGTTAAATATAAAATAATTTTAGACGCTGATAACAACAAACATCTAATTCGCCACAGCAAATATCTGTGTTTATATGAAAGGAAATCTGTTAAAGTCAACCCAAACAAAGGTTTGCGTTGAATAAGTAAATAAATCATGTTGCTGGTGGCGTTTTTATCTGAAATTTACATTTCTTAAGAAATACAAAATCATAAGAAGCAAAGCACGTGGCATATATTGTTAATACAGGCCACAAGTTGTTAATATTGAAGAAAGGCCTTTTGTATGTAAACGAACAAATTACAATTGCGTGCGTCCAAGAGAATCAACGAATCGATGTAGTCAGTTGCAGTCCTGTAATCTTGATCTTAAAAAGCTTTTCGTCGTTAGAGTCCTGTTTCAAGCCTATGTGTACATATGAGTAAAAAACATATCCAAAAAATATGTTACGAAGAAGTTGAAAGATGGACTAAAGATGCTGTAGCTACTTGACGCCAACTTTTTACGCTGCCAGTAAATGGATTTTTATAAGTAGTAGTTTGCAGTTTGGATAAGGTTTATTTATTTTCTGATAGTATTATGTGAGATCAACCATTACTTAGACTGATGTCAGTGATGGTAACAACACATAATTAAAGTAATTATAACATATAGTTTTACGGCACTATTTTCTGATTGCCTTAGAAAGATTGTTTAAAGTGACTTAATAACTTTTTCAGTTGAATTGTAATAGTTACTTTTTTCTATAGATATCTAATTTTCTCATTATGCAATGATTTTCACTATGAGATCTCGTTGAATAACAACTAGCTTATAACTTGGTTAAGAAATTTTATTAACAAGTGCAAAATCCTGCTACAGTTGAATACACGTCTTGAAGAATATTTATGTAAGGGTCCCAAAGTTTGCTACTTTACTTAAAATGTCGATAAAGACCTCTTTTCCTAAAGCTTATTATGGAATGTGATGTAACAGCGATGATATTTGCATATAGTTAACTAAGTTAAACATTTCCAAAAAGGAGTAAACTACCACAAAGCAAAAGAAAAAGTTTTTTAAGTGAATTTAAATGTTTACTAGAAACTATATGGTAGCAAAAACTTCCTGTCATGACAACTTTAAATGAATCTTCACATAAATGTTGCATGCGCTTGACCATGCGCATGATCAATAAATCACGCCCCAAATTCTACTAAATATACATATTGAATAACGTCACATGTACTCATGTCAACATGTTTATAATTGTTTATTAAGTAAAGTAAATGACAGGATATATATAATAGTGAAGCTATATACACAAAATTAAAAGTTACAATGTTTATAAACTGACATTATCATATAAAGTCTTACACATTATGTATCATATGTATGCAGTTGAGTAAAAAGTGTTTTAAATTTCTAAATACAATTTACATGTGCAATTTTTTTGATCATACGTATAGCAAGTGTCTGTGCATGTCTATTACATGTCTCAAGGGTCGAAGAACAGCGTTGGTTTAACTTTTTCTACATTTCAATCTGCTATCATATTCCTTTAATCAGCACATATTAAAGTGAAATGATTGAAACATGAAAACATCCGTAAGCATACCAAATTTCAGAAAAGTTGTTAAACTAATTTATATTATGCTCTCAAAATATTTCGGTGTCTTTCAAATCAAAATGTTTATTGTTTAATGATAATTGATGAGCAAACAACTCTGTTGTCACACGAACCTCCAGAGCTTAACACACTTTTGTCTTCTTATTTATCATAAGTTTCCTTTTTTCATTTCAGAATCCATCAAATACATGTTTACCTTTTGAAAAACATTTCATGGACATTTTATAAATCCTCTCTTAAAACATGAGTATGTAGTTCTCAATATATATTGTTTGCCTGTCGACTGGATTTACGATGTCAAATTTCAGCTTTGGTCGTAACAGTTTATCAACTCTTTATCATTAAATAAACGTACATTCGACTTTTATGATGTTGTTGAGGTTTTAAAAAAACTTATTTCCATGGCTTTGTAAGTAAATATGAAGCTCTCTTGAACATCATTCTTTCTTTGACTCCAATAGGTAAATAATTCTGGATAGAATCCTATTGACATTTGTGGAATTATACTTAGTTAAAAGTTAAAATTAGCTTGGAAAAAGTTAAACATCGTTTCCTTTAGCTTCTATGATCTGACTTGTCGTACCTGAGCAACAGTGTCCGGACATTCTACCAATAACAGACGCATCTGTCCTTACTTGAAATGATTGCCTTCAAAAATATCTTGGAATTACTATTCAATCTTTGATTTATCCCAATGTTGCAAATGCATGTTGGTCATTTTTATATTTGTTCTCTCTCTGAACTTTTTTCTTTGTTTAATCAAATGTTATTTGCAGCGTTTTAAATTGGTGCTCTCTGAGTTATGACATATCAATTAAAATAATAAATTTTAGTGATCGTTTTTAGCAAAGGTTTTACTGCCCAAATGTCAACATCAAAATTTTTTGATTAAAGGAATACAACAGCAAATATCAAAGAAGTTTTCTTCAATAGCGCTATCTACTAGGTAATAATTATTCAAACGTTTCAAAAAAATTGTAGGAAAAGATGCGATTTGGCTGTAACAAAAAAATGAAAGAAAACGGTTATTCAAAGATTATAAAATGTCATTTTCGAGATAGAAGTTTTATCCCCATTTACATGTGTTTGAAAATGTTAGCTATTATTCAGTGGAGAGCACTATTTGATTTTTAAGAACCAGACAATGTCAACGAGACTTAAAAATTAGCTGACGATAAGATTGTGATTTATAATACACATAACATAATTTTTGTTCCTCATACAGTAAACTACCGACAGTGATAAGATTAAGACATGGTGTATGGTTAATACAGGTTATAAAATAATTGCAACACTATACATGTGTAGCAGTGATAAATCGCTGGCCGATTGCACAAACCTCGTGCACTTTATACATAACAACTATTATTTCAACTATTCTTTCATTTTCAACATTATTTAAATCTTAAGCCTTATTTACTCGATCTATTGTTCATTATGTAACAATCTCTATATGACAACTTTTTACTCTTGTAAACGGCACAGCAAGTATTTTCCAAATTGCCATGAGTATAACTGAAAAATAAAATTCGCCCTAAAAAGCGGTTGGACGACTATTTCTTAACTTCGCCAAATTTTTTTGACGGCCGTTTATGCGGCCAATTTTTGTGTGTGAAAGTGACACACAGTGTTAGTGACATAAAAGCTTACATGCCTGTTTTTTAACAAATGTATTTGTAACCTAAGAATTGTCAAATTCTTCTAGTTGACACGAGCAAATAAAAGCTGTCCTATAAAAATTGTTCGAGTAAAACGAAGGTTTTAGAAAAGATTTGAGCCAAATTGGCTCACAATCGGTCAAGTTTTTTGTGTAATTTAAAACGAAATTTCAAAAAAATGTTAAGTGTTTAATAATATACATGAAAAATTTCTCAATTCTGATTGGTTAAAAGTAGTGCAATTTTTCCTAAATACCGGTGCAAAAAAGCAAAAAACCAGTGCTGATTTCTCAAAATACTGCTCCTGATTGGTTGTTCAAAGGAAGAAGTAATGTAAGAGCCAATCAAAATAAAACATTTCAAAGGCGGAAAGTTGCATTATTGGAAGCAAAGCAATTAAAATGGCTGGCGTAAGTTTCAAGTAGATTTCTTTTGGCGACCGAGTCAACAATTCATCGTTTGCAAGACGTTTCTGAACAAAAATATGAACGCTGCTAAAAGTAGATTCCTTGTTCTAGCTGCAAGTATGGAAACCATGGTGTTATAAAAAACATTAGCCAACTGAAATAATTGAAAAATGCGAGCCGGTCGATATTAATAACTTGCCCACATTTCTTTCTCCATCTTTATATAAATGTTGAGGAAATAAGTTTCCAGCCTTGGTCTGAGGTTTTTTTCAAGATCCCGTTGAATATCACGTTCTTCAAAGAAACGCTTCTCAATTTCATCAAAAATAGGAAAAGCACGGGCAAATGAGAATAACAAAATGTCACATATCAATGACTTTTTAAAGTTAATGGAATGTTTCTCTGTTTCTGTTTCAATGGTTGAAATGATTACATCATATATTTGGGTAAGGTCATTAAGAGAACATCTAGTTGCACTTCTAGAAACTTGATATTGCTTTATCTTTGATCGTATTTGCACACAAAACAGCCTCGTGTTTGTAATTCAAGAATATATTTACAACCTTTTTATAAAAACCAAAAGTAACCATATCTTCAGCAATGATGGGAGTGGAAATCCACTCCGTTTATAAAAGTGGAAATCTTGTAATCAACCGGTTGCAGTTTCTTTAGCATGTCAGCGTTTAGATCAGATTTTTCTTGAAGAAGAACCGACACCATGAACTCGTTGATGTCATATTTTGTTTCTTTACATTCAGGAACATCCTTGATCCATTGTTTCCATTCTTCTTCAAACTCAGCTTTACATTTTTCCACATCATTTGTATTTTGAACTGATACTAAATTCTTTGCTTTATCCAGAAGTTGCTTTTCATATCTTTGTTTCATCTCTTGAACATTGTGTCGTTGCTGCAGATAATTGAAGGCTGCTTCACAGCTTTCTATGACAGACATTTCTTGATTTCGCTTGTATCTTAAAATTTTACGCGACAAATCTTTTCTCCATTGTTCAAGAGTTGATCTATCTTCACTATTTTCAAAATACGTCTCCATTGCTTGCTCCATTTCCTCCTTCAGTTCGTCTGCCTTTTCGATTATACGTTTTTTACTTTTCATCCAACAATTCTGTTTCAATATTTCTTTCAATTTGAGTCATTTTAATTATCATTAAATTTACCGATTCCTTAAAAAGTTTTTTTGTCTAAACATGTGTAAGCTCTGACTTCGATCACATTTCGAAAACTGAAAATGAAGTTTTCCTTCAGTATGGCTTCCCAAAGAATTTTAACTCGATCACGAAATGAAGAAACAGTGAGGTTACTCACTTCTTTTGAGCACATTAACAGAATTATATTTTCCTTCACCTTTTGTAAAGCATTGCCATAATTTGGGCTTATTGGAGCCATAGGA